TGTGTGTGTGTGTGTGTGTGTGTGTGTGTGTGTGTGTGTGTGTAATTCCCCATACTTTTTCAGGTCACAAATGAGCTACCCTAAAATTGATGAGATTTTGGAATGATCCTTGAATTAATAAATGATTAATTTTTTTCTTTTTGACATGTATCTGTCTGTTCAAGCAACATTATGCCCATAATATGGAGGGCTTTTGATAGAATTTTCAGGATAGATTAAAATGGGCTTTATTTGGATACTTAAGTAGTTACTTGATTAATAAGACAATTTATTAAGTATTCAACCTATTTGTAAACCAATAAACTTATAATTATGATGGCAATTAAGCTTATTAGTTAATTAATAATTAATTAATGACAATTGAGTTATTTAATTAGTTGATTAAGTAATTAAATTAATACATGATTTATGAGAATTGAGTTGCCTTGGTGGAGGTTGGTGCTCTCTCAGTGCTTTTCTAGTTAAAGGGATAAAAACTCTTCATATAAAATCTATATTTCACATTAAATGCATTTTTACCACAAAAATGGCAGCTATAGCAATTATTCTGAAATCTGTGCTCGTCACTGGACCATGTGACCTCCACAGATGGCTATACTCAAGAGATTATTACAAAAAAACTTTTTAGAAAAAAAAAACAGAGACTAACTTTGAATGTAGAAATGGATTCATTAACCATTGGTAAGTAAGGAAAAATTGTCTTTTTCCCCAGGAAAATTCTTTTTTTGGTCAAAATGAACAGTTGCTATCCTTAAATAAACATAATTTTTGTTTTTTTTTGTATAAGAAGTATTTTGGTTCTTAAGTGCCAAGAACTTGTTACTGACTTCAGGAAAATCCTTGAAACACTTTTATTTTTGCCTTTGTCCTCCTGAATGTTCTTTGAGGCACTGTGTGTTGTGTTATTCCATGCTATTGATTGGAAGGCAAGTTGCACACTGTTAGTGTTTTCTAAGACATGTCCCCACAGGCAGTTCATTTTAACCTAGAAACCTAGCACATACTGATGATTTTGCTTCTGTCTATTTAGCTATCAGATATAATTTACCGGTCTCTTATAAGTTATTGCACGCATATAATGTGTTCCAAGACATTTGTTCCCAAAGGCATTTTCTGCCAAGAATCTCACACTATCATATAATTTTATACAGACAGTTTGCCAATGTCTAGGGATATTTACTGTTATGAGCAAGACAGCTTTTTAGCTATTCATCTGGCTGTGTCTTTCTTTTTGTCTGTCTGCCCTTCTGTCTATCTGTCTTAGAGAAGTAAACTTTAGGAATTTCTTTTTGCATGGAGACATACTACTCCAATACTGAACATGCTTATCAGTAACATGCTTAACGGATTTGTTGGAGACCTTTCTTTTACTAAAGTTTGCTGAGTGGATTTGTTAGTTAATAAGACAGGTTTCGCTCAAAATCAGCATGATCGGGTAATTTTTATGAAATTTATTTATTTTCTTAGGGATTATTTCTGTTAAAGTTATTGATTTTTATATTCTTTGTTATTGTTGTTATTGTTATTATTGTCATTATGTGTAAATATTGTTACAGTGATTTTTGCTGTTTGGTGGTCTGTATATTTGCCAGCTTTGCTGTTTAGTTTTTCTGTTTTGGCCATTTTAAGGTTGGAGATGATAGGGAAACAAGAAACTGATAAACTAAACTGAACTGAGTAAGACAACAATTAAATTATAAAAGGTTTATATGAAGTTAGTTCTAATGCTAAATTACATGTCACTGTTAATTCCCAGGAGGTCTGTTTGTATTATACCAGTCTAAGGATGGAAAAAAAATCAATGAAAAGAAGCTACACTGTAGTTTGGGTATGCCACCCAGAGTGTTGGTGGCCAATGACAGCTCACCTCTGCCTTTCATCCTGCGTATCAATGATAGAGATTACGTAATTAGTTTCCATTGACCTGTGAAACGTAGGGTACCTGGTACACTGTATGTATAAGGCAGGTTAAAAACAAGGTGCTTAAGGCAGGTTAAAAACAAGGTGCTGAAGACTTTTTGTGTTAAAATGGAGAATTAAAGCACAGTACTGTCAATTAACATTAAATATGATATTATTGATGCACATTGTGACACATGCAGTGCGGTGTTTTTTATCTTTGTCTGCACAACATTGATCTGTTAGGGTCATATTTAACCAGTATGCCAGAAGACACTCAAGACCTGATTTTTTTTAATAGCAAGGCATTTATATTTATTTATTTACTTATATTTCTTTTCATGTACTTTTGAATTTTTTTCTATAAATGTTATATAATCTCATAATTGTTGCAGAGAAGAAAGACAGTCTTTTCAAAGATAAAAGATATCTTTTTTAGTGCTTATTGGACAAGAAAAATCCAAGTCCCAAGAAAGAGCACAATTACATTTAGCATCAGTATTGCTTGCTGGGATCAATTTCAAATCAAATTTTTGGAACCATAGGGACTTTCTTTGAAAGTTATACCAATTAAATTAATGTGCAAACCAGATATTTTATTGGCTAGTTTCCATGTGTTAGCACATAGGGACTCAACTTGAAAGGTATACCTTTTGTGTACTGCGCAAATACCAGCTATCGATAAAGTTCCCAATGGGTCTACTGGGTATTTAATGACCTTAGATAAAGCAGCATTATATGCCTAATTGCTGCTGGTGGCAGTTGAAATAGTTGGATGATACATGGCTGCTAGAAGCAGTGCCTGTCTGCAGTTTCTCCAGATATATGTAACTCAACTGTGTCCCAGGAAAGTGGTCAATTGGGGGCACTAAAGGGGGGGGGGGCATCAACCTCTAACAATAGGGTTGAGGGTTTTGTTGTTTTGTTGCACACTGCTACTGGTAGTTTGTAAGTAGTTTATTTCCATTCAGTCCTTTGGGAAATAAACCATCCCAGTCAATGAGAAACTTCCAACTGGTTTGTACATACACGGAAGTGGCTTGAAATGCATTGAATTGTTAGGGAACCAACCATGAGCTACAGGGGCCGATTGAGGCTGTGTTCTGTGTCTTCTGGAAGACGTTCAGATTTTCAAGTTTACATTAATGGGTTTCTATTTTTTTTATGTTGGAAGACAGTAAAAAATGGAGGTCAATAGATCAACGTAGATAATTTGGCAGACTGTCAAAAAATATCTCTGGATCTGCCCCTGAACGTACCAGAGCATATGACATTTGTATGCAGCACTGATCTGTGGGTTTATTTCTACATCAGTAACCAGGAATGTTTTAGTACAGTATGTAATGAATGGTGATTAATCATCTTGACTTGTCATTATCTTTAAGTGTCTTCTTGAAAGTACTTGTTTCATGGAATTCAACTTTAGAAGAATAATTATGCTAACCTTAGTTTGTCATATTTCTTTTTAATGCAAAATTATGACTGCCTGGGAGCAGCTCAGGAAAATAGTGATTTTCTTGCTGCAGATCGAAGCAAGGAATACAAATAAGACAAAAGATTATAGAATGTGTTTCATGGAAAATACCTTGGGATTGGCCATTTATGCTCTAATGCATGGAATTGAGCGCTTTTAGCAGTTTCTTTGATAGAATTAAGTGGTTTGTGCACTTACTTGGAGTTTTTGAAATCAGTTTTGTATAAATGCACTCTCTGGTTTTCTGAAAATGATGTTGACATGAAAAAAGGCTTTTAAGGACAAATTGCAAAAACAGATAAAAGTGTCGGTCAGGTGTTATGACACATTTCTGACTTAAAAAGATGTCTTGGTCTCAGAGCTTTGTTTTCGGGCTCATTCCCAATATAACTATCGGCCTGTGTAGAGCGATCCTACTCCATGGGGACACTCACTGAATGCAATCAGGTTAAGAGATTAACATCCTCTTGTTTCCACAGTGCTCGTGTAATCAGCAGCTTCTCCGAGTTCTACTCAATGCCAGGAGGAGGCGTGTCGATCTGACTCTTAATCTGATTGTAGTTGGGTTGATCTATGTTGATAGGTAGTTTTATTGGGAATGACCCCATAGTCAAATTGAAGAAACACTGCAACAAAAAAGTTGTTTAATAGTGTTAACACCATGGCCATATTCACCTGGTTATCAGTCTGGGACAATGCCTACATATTTTTTTAAGAATATAAGTTAAAATGTTTTCTGAAGTCGCATGCCTATTTTAAACTTAATAATAATCATTATAATGATGTTGATAACTATAGCATTTTGATTTCAAGTCAAACCAGTCTTTTGATGCCACTTTTCATCTTAAAGTTACTTCTACGTTAAATTCAATTTCTGATGAATATTGAAATTTGGTGATCTTAAATGGGCATAATGCACAATGCATACTAATATTCATTTTCAGTGTCAACTTTTACTTTAGTTTTCAACAGTATACTTTCACTTTTCAGCTGCAGCCTTACTAGAGTCTATGGACAGTAGCGTGGATCCATGTGAAGACTTTTTCCAGTATGCATGTGGATCTTGGAACAAGAAAAACATCATTCCTGAAGATAAGACTGGGTTTAATACATTTGAGAAACTGCATGATGAGTTGCTTGTCAAGTTGAAAGGTACCACAGTGATTGTCTAACTTACAATACTTCATATTTTTTGGGAGAAGGTGTCAGTTAAAGATGGATACTAAAATTTGGATGTTTAACTTCATTTTAAGAAAGGTTTTATTTTCACCCAAGAATACCACCATGCAATTTTCAGTAAAATATTTTGGTAAAATAGCATGATACTTTCGAGATATGAAAGTACATGTGGTAGTTCTTTCAGTTTCATGGATTAGCTTTAAAATAATAAAATGCTTGGATAGTGTACATTGGCTCAGCTTATGTTTAAATGTTTTATTGTATTTGTAAATTTAGCTCTGCTTGAAGAACCCCTGAAAAGCGGTGATGCAGCTTCCATTGATCAAGCTAAAATACTATACCGTTCTTGTATGAATTTGAGTAAGTATAAACTCTTCTGCTCTGTCTAAGAGCACATTCCCAGAAATATAGATCGATCCATCCGGATTGACCTAACTCCCTGGGGGTTCACGCTAAATTGCTGTCAGCTGACCGCTCATGGAAGTTAATTACCCCCTTACAGCTTTTAGTAGGCAGGACAGACATTTAAGCCAGCTAAGCTGACAGTGATCTAGTGAGACTCCCCACGGGGATAGATCGATCTAAAATCTCTGGGAATGGGGTCTAAGCCTTGTTGCTTCTCTATCTGTAAGGCTCTATTCCCATAGATTTTAGGGGAGTCTCACTAGATAACTTTCAGATAATCCGACTTAAATGTTCGTCCCGCCTACTACAAGCTGTAAGGGGGTAATTAACTTTTGTGTCCGCCCGGCTAACAGCTTTTTAGCGTGAACCCCCAGGGAGTTAGGTCGATCTAAAGTAGGTCGATCTAATCTATGGAAATGGGGTGTAAAACAAATTCTATGTTTTTTCAACTAGCTATAGCCAACTCTGGGGACAAAATGAAGGTCAAATTCAAACATAGTCCCAAATGTGCTCCTCATTCAGAATATTTATTCCAGAATGTTTTTCATGTGTACAGTCATAACATAAGCTAAATTCACACCTTTTGCAATTGCAAGATTTTATGGCACAACTGTTTAAGAGACATTTGAAAAATACTTATAATTGTTAATTTTGTTACCGACAGTATCATTAAGAAGCTGCAGGTGGCTGCAAATATCAGATAAATGGCAAATTCCACAAGCAAAAACTCCATGTTACAATACAAACAGATAATTTTTTCTCTGATAATGGCAAGGCATTCTTCTTTTTTACAGCTGAAATAGACCGTCTTGGTAAATCTCCACTTCAGGAAGTCCTGAAACCTTTTGGTGGCTGGCCAATAGCAGACGAGGCCTGGTCTGAAGGAAAATTTAACCTTGAAGCTACTTTGGGAAAACTAAGGAGACAGTTTAATCTCCCAGTTATGATAGACTCTTGGATTGCAGCTGATGATAAAAATTCATCAATACACATTTTACAGGTAGTCAGGAAGAAATATCGAAACAAATGTGATAATTGGCAGTCAAACAATATTTCTTACAGGCATATTGATAGTGTAGTTTTGTTTAGGCATTTTATGAAACAAGGCTTTGAAAAACAATTTTTTTTAAAGTTAGAATAAAAGGTATCCCTTTAAAATTGACAGCCAAAAAAATTTTTTTTTTTCATTTTTACTGTAGTGAAAGGACCTAACTCCTTCAACCTTTATTTCAGATTGACCAGCCTGTGCTGGGTATGCCAAGCCGTGAGTACTATACAGAAAGTTTATATCTGGAACCCTATAGAAAATTCATGATAGAAATAGCCAAGCTATTGGGAGCGGATGGTGAAGATGTCATACAGTCTATTGAGAAAGTGCTCAGTCTGGAAATAATGTTGGCAAATGTAGGTATTTTGTTTTGTACCACAAGGTGGAAGGTTTTCTGATATTTATTTTCCATTTAGATCTTCATCCTCACCCATTTAAATCCACAGGTATGAAATGATTCATAGTAAAAACTGTCACATCACCTTGGCTGGTGGTGCATAGTACATACCCAGGAAGCAGCCACGCCTCTCTAAATCTAAGCTATCTTTTTTTGAGATTGGAACTGGCATATATTGACATGGGTCCTGTTAGGTCCAGAGCTGAGTGATTATTATTATTATAATTATTATTATTATTTTTTTTTTTATTATTTCAGATCACGATACCACAATCGCAGAAACATGACACTAGCGCCAACTATAATAAATTTTCCATTAAAGAGTTAATGCGACAGGTGCCTGGGGTAGGTACATTTAACTTACATAGAACTATAGTGTTTGTCACAGTGCCATGCTTCTGTTAGAGAAAATGTAGACAGATGGGTCACTTCCACCTAATGCATAGAAGCATCTATGATTTTTTGCTAAAGCATATATATTTATTCAATGGACAAATAAGTAATCTCAGAAATCTAATAATTCTCCAATAAATTGTTGTAAAAATGACAATGAGGATAAGACATCTGAGGTTGATAATGATAAATACTAGCTGAAAGATAAATAAATAATAAAAAGTTATTTTGTTGAGGAATTTTTTTTTTTTTTACTTTTTAATTTCCATGTTTTCAGCACTTCTCTCTTATAATTATAAAACATTATTTTCTTTGTTTGTGGTTATGTAACATTATTGTATACTTTTTTCCTTGTTTTCTTCTTTCAGATAAAATGGATGAACTATTTTGAGAATTATTTGCAGCTGCCATTTACGCAGGATGAACCAGTGGTTGTTTTGGCACTCACTTATTTCAGAGACTTGGAAAAGATCGTCCTAAAAACTGATCACAGGTACGACCACTGAAAGACAAATATTATATCCGACTAAAAACGGATCACAGGTACAACCACCGAAAGACAAAATTATCTTCATATTAGTAAATAAAGGATTAACACTTTGTTATTGTATTGATCTCCACATTTTTTTTAGACTGCTTAATGGCATGTTGGCAACACAATGAACTCCATCATTTGCAATAATAGCATTAAAATTTGGATTGTTCCATTGAATGCGTATATGGAGTCCACATTTTAACAAAAGTATAAATTAATATGGAAAATTGGACCTATTATGTAAATATAAGAAGCCTTAAAAGGTTATAACATCTGTTTTGTTTTATTTTGTTTTGTTTTGACCCTAAGCACAACTAAATTAGAAATACTTATGTTCAAAGCTGATATCTTTATTACAAAAAAAAAAAAAAAAAAAAAAAAAAAATGGCAGCAATTTAAGCCTGTATTATCAATAGTTAATTATAATAATTGCCCTAGCCACTGGAACACTAGGGATTAGCTTGTTTAGAAGGCAGTGCATGCCCCCATGATTTAATCCTACTTTGGCAGGGAGATGATTTATTATAAGCTATTAACAGGATTGCATGTTGATATATGTGGTGCCTTTGAAGAGGGAATAGGATGCCCCATTAGTTTGTATAAAAGTTATGCTTTGATTATGAAAATATTAACAAAGGTGAAATATGGTAGATCTTATAATGAGATCGTATAATAGCCCATAGTTGTCATAGTCGAGACACTTTAAGATGGGGCCTTACCCAAAAAGGGCTAAAAATCACATTTTTATAGATAGAATCAACAGTAAGTCTTTAAAGAAAAATCCCCAATCCCCTTTTGTAGTACTTAGTTCAAGTGTTATAATACCAATAAAAGCATGTTTATGGTTGTCCAGGTGCCTGAGAAAATCAAGAAACTGAAAATGATATTTTTGCCCAAAAATCCCAACATTACATCACACAATGAACTTGGAGCTGTGTTTCAAGCGTGAATAGATTTTTTTGAAGATACAACAGGAATAAAAAAGCAAAGACCTTTAAGATAAAATCTCCAACCTGTAGTCTTCCCGTAAACATACTGAATCTGGAAGTCTCAGTACTATCTTTAGTGATGAAGAAGAATGTATGTAATTATATTGTGTATTACAGACCCTGCATTTCACAAATAAAAACAACCAATCTCCAATTATACATGTTTGTGACTTGTAGGGTCAGATGGTCTTGTTTTTGTCATTAACTCTAAAAACATTTAAAAACCATTCCCACAGATATTTAGATCGCTCTATCCCCCTGGGGAGTCTCACTAGATTCCTGTCAGCTTAATCAGCTTAAATGTCTGTCCCGCCTACTAAAAGCTGTAAGGGGGTAATTAACTTTTGTGCGCACTCGGGTCCTGGAAGCTGACAGCAATTTAGCGTGAACCCCCAGGGAGTTAGGTCGGTCCAGATGGATCGATCTAAATCTGTGGGAACCCAGTCTTAGGAAATAAATCAAATGAAAAAATTGCTTGTTTGTGATGCTGTACAGTAGTCATGCATGCATTAGGAGACATATAAAATGTTAGATTTAAATTTAAAGTGCTGCAGTATCTGCACAAGTACTGTACATATACTAGTACTTATAAATACTTGACTAGTATGTATATGTATACCACTGCCAGTATTTACCACTATTTAATCAAATATTGTGTTTCAGAGTTTTGGCAAATTATATGCTGTGGAGACTTGTCAAGCTGTTTGTGCCAGAACTTAGCAAGGATTTCAGAGAACAGAGAAACTCTTACAGGAAAGTAATACAGGTATGCTATTTTTCTCATATAATAATAATTATGATTCATACTTAGAGCCACAGGTAATTCTGAGTAATTATCAGTGATTTTGAATACAGAGTCATCAACTAATTTATGAGCCAAATACACAAGCAGGAACTCTCGCTGAATTCAATCAGTTTCACAGATTAACATTCCTCCTCTTGTTTCCAACCCATTTGTACAATCAGCTTTTCTGTTTTCTTTTCAATGCCAGGAAGAGTTGTGTTAATCTGTAAAACTGATTGCATTCAGCAACATTCTCGAAGAATGTGTTATGTTACTATGTAGAGCAATAGTTTCATTGAGAACCATATCCCTTTATCACTGTTCTTTATTGTTTATTAGGGTGTAGTTAAAGAAAAAGTGCGCTGGCAGAAATGTGTAGAGTATGCCAACGAGCGTATGGGTATGGCTGTGGGAGCTTTGTTTGTGAGAGAACATTTCAAGAAAGAGAGTAAAGACACAGTAAGTGAACACCACTTAAATTGCAAATTTTGCCATTGCTGACTTTGTTTGGCAGAAACACTTATGTGCCCACGTTTACCATTTTCCAACACTTAATTAACATTTTCCTATATAATAAAAATGAATGCAGTTGAAAAACAAATCAGCACTCCCATTCACCTATTCTTGGTATCTTTAATTATCACTACCAAGTTCTAATTGTGCATGACCTCACACCTTCTGTTATTTTTATTGTCATCTTCAGGCAACGGAAATGATTAATAACATAAAGGCAGCTTTCCAGGATCTACTGAGGGAAACAGACTGGATGGATGATGTCACTAAGGAATATGCCATAGCGAAGGTGACTATTAGATATATATATAAATAGATTTAATTGGTGATTACTTTAGATGTACAGTGTAGTAACATGCAATGTTCATTTTTTCCTTGCTGGGATATTTATAGGGTGACTAAAAAAATGTTACTAAGTTCAAAGTTCAATTACTTCAATAGTTCACAAGCTTTTGAATTGAAATTTTGTGCACATTTTCAATACATTATTATTTGTCATCCCTAAAAATGTCAAGTGATAAAATGAAACAAATTTGATATTTTCATCAAATCAATAACACATTGGCAGGTGTCAGAACTGCCTGACATTGTCACCTGTCAGAAGTCACATAGGCTGGCATGGTATTTTTTGGCTGAAGATTTTAATTTTTTGGGTGTGCCAAAACAAAGACCCCATTCGCATAGACACCATTGCTCTACTTAGATGGATCCAATTTTGCAGATCTGACTGAAGACTTGCTGAGAGCAATCACTTAACTGAATAACTTGCATGTTTTGCATGATCACGGCACACCTGTAATGCAGTGTATTCTTATAAGGAATGTATCTTTTTTTCTTCACTCATACAGTATGTTTCTTCAGTGTTTCAGAACGGCATATCATGTTTTATTCGTTTACAGGCAAGTGCAATGAATGAAAGGATTGGCTACCCGGAATACATACTGAACAACACTGAGCTGGATAATATATACACAGGGGTAATTGATACTTTTAATACCTTAAAAAGGTGATATGTGAAAATTCTTAGAATATTTCATACTCATTATAGTTTATTCTGAGTCTTACCCTGGAAAACACTGAACAACAAATTAGAATTCATGTTGCACTGTATAGCTACCAGCAGTGCCCATTGATAAGCCAGTAAATCCAGGAATCATGATAAGATTTGAAGATGTCTGGTAAATGCTTTAATTACCTAGCTGTGTCTAACATTTGTTTGCTTAGTGTTTAAATATATTACATGATTGGAGTGCACTTTTATCTAACCAGGAAATTTTCACCAGGAAATTATGTCTAATCAGGAATTTTTTCACCAGGAGATCCATGAAGTTTTTCTTTGATTACTTTCAGTTATCTAAGATAAACTGATAGTGCCCTACATTGTTTATATCCATTTTGAAGTACCTACTATATCTCAAGCCAATTCCCTTCTTCTTTACAGCTTGACTTTAAAAAAGATCAGTACTTTAAAAACTTGGTGAAAGTGGAAGAATTTCTGGCCACAAGGATTGTGAACAAGTTAGGCAAGCCTGTGCCACTTGGCATGTAAGTAAAGAGGTGTTCTAGCCAACCTTGAGTTTGTTGAGATATACTTGTAAGATTGTCAGCAAGTTAAGCAAGCCAATGCCACTTGACATGTAAGTAAAGGAGGTGTTCTAATTAACATTGTGTTTGTTGAGATATATTTGTGACATTTTTCCAAAATGTGATAGTGCTACTGGATTTAGCTTAAAAGATCTTGAATTACCAACACCAATCCAATTTGGCAAACAAAAAACCCAACCCCCCTCTCCTCCTATTCTCAAACACATAGTGGGGATTGATCCAACCACTGCCCCTTCCCAAAGGTGAAAAATATGCACTGTCACTTCTGTATGAAGAAGTGTGTACATGACTTGGGCAATTTGTCAGATATTCATAAGTAAATGTTAGAACTGAGTTATAACTGAAAGATGAATACAGTTACTATTTATATGGATTGATGTGTCTTGCAAAATTTCTTTTTTTTTTTTTTTTTTTTTTTTTTCAGATGGGAACAGGACCCTGCTGTCGTGAATGCTTTCTACAACCCGAATAAAAATGACATTGGTAAATGCTGTACTTTTATAAGTTAAAGCAAATTTAATATTTTCTTATTCCTCATTATGTATGTTATGTTTTCTTGTTCCATTTCTTCAGTAACAAAATTGGAAACAGGTGTCTTATGTAACAAAAGTACTGTCACAAGATTGAGTTTATATATTTTTTGCAGCTACTTTTTTGCTTAATGTAGTAAAATGCCATTAAAATTATCATACTACATGTAGTTTATCTTGCATGTCTGTAACACTTTGACACATTTTAAGTCACAGAGATTGTAAATGAGTATATTGACCAGTTTATCTGTATTAATTATTTTGTATTTCAGTTTTTCCAGCTGGAATTTTACAACCTCGGTTTTATAGTTCTACTTTTCCAAAGTAAGAATGATTTTGTTTCTCTTTTGAGCTGTTTAAACTAGTACACTATAGTTACAGCATGGTTTATTGTGAATATAGCGTGTATGCTGTATCACACTTCCTCAAACTTATCACACCTAACACACTTCTTCAAACTTATCACACCCTGCCTACTTCCTCAAAATTATCACACCTAAAACACTTCCTCAAACTTATCACACCTAACACTTTTTCAAACTTATCACACCCTGCCTACTTCCTCAAACTTATCACACCTAACACACTTCCTCAAACTTATCACACCTAACACTTTTTCAAACTTCTCATACCTAACACACTTTTTCAAACTTCTCACACCTTTTTCACTTCCTCAGACTTATCATTATTGTTTAATGACTAAACTTGCTAGTACTGGGTCACTTTTTGATTAAGCATATTTCCTTTCACATCTTTTTTATAGACTATTTTGCATTTCTCTTACATTTTCAGGTCCTTGAACTATGGGGGTATTGGTGTAGTCATAGGACATGAAATAACACATGGATTTGATGATAAAGGTATGAACTAAATCTTAAATTGAGAGGCAAGGGCAATATTTTTTTAAATATTAATGAAAAGCACACTGTGTCCTGCCTGTAAAATTGAAACAATAAATTTTTAGTTAGTACCATTAGCAAGAGGGAGTCCTGATATTGCCACCATGCTCCTCTATAGTAAAAATAAGAACTCGTGAAAAAAGACTGTTAATGTACCTAAAAAATTACATTCATTACTATACGTTACGCATTTCCTCAGTAAATGTGTGTGTGTGTGTGTTTGGGGGGGAGGGGGGTGTTATTGATTCCACCCTTATTAGATGTACAGTGTATATAGTCCAGTATCAAATAATGCAGGGTCCTCATACTGTACATGTATATTGAAAAAACTGTCTTAGCTCTTAGCCACATATTTTTCTAGCTGAGAACTCATTGTATTATATTTTTACAGGCAGGCAGTTTGACAAAAATGGCAACTTAAAGCACTGGATGGACAATCAGACAATAAATGAATTTCGCAAGAAAGCTGACTGCATGACAGAGCAGTACTCACAGTACAAGCTGGAGCAAATTAACATGAATGTATGTGTAACTTCACAGTTACTGATACGTACATATTTTATTAATATTAATTTGACAGTATAAGGAAAACTGTGATTATTATACCCGGTATATTGCCAAGAATTTGACAATATTAGAAATACTATGATAATTTGAGGATAAAACCTCAAATGAAAAGAAGTTGAACATTCCATCTTGTCAGTGGTTAACCCTTGTTACCTTTGTTTGAAGATATATGTATAAGTCATTCATTCACTTAAATAACTTAACAAAATGATCAGGCCTGTAAGCTTTCGTGTACCTGGATAAAACTTACTCTGAGGGGACCTTTTCTCAGCAAAAAGGGTGGTTCTTTTGGACCCCCTACCTCCACCCACCCACCCACGCCATGAGCCTGATGATATGTATTTAATGGTCTTCATTTTAATATGATTTTAATTTGGATTTCAGATTGATGGTAAGAATACAGAGGGGGAGAACATAGCAGATAATGGTGGATTGAAGGAGGCATTCAGGGTGGGTGAATGGTGTCCTACTTGTGAATTAATGCCTGAAATGAACTTTCCATTTTCTTTTCTTTTCATTGAAAAAAGAAACAGTATAAAAATGATGAATTGAATTCAAATGGAATTAATTATTTTTAAATAATTTTTTATTCTAAATTTGATATTTTTCAAATGCATTTTAATGAAAGAAAGCACTCAGTCTGTTAAGATTCCTACTCACATCTGTGACCTAAATTCCATGGACAGTAACAGCAATTATAATAATATAGTTTGCTTGCTTTGAAATTCTCATCCTCCTACTTTATCCAGGCATATAGAAGCTGGGTTGCCAAGAATGGAGAAGAGCAGAGACTACCAGGACTGAACCTCGATCATAACCAGCTCTTCTTCTTGAATTATGCCCAGGTATGCTGCTTGAATTATGCTCTAGAGAGATTCTAAAATTCTGTACAGTTTATTTAAATATGAAGATTTTAGGAGGTCAAAATTCTATGAACTGATGTCCCTTTAAAGGTTGCATGCAGCACTTGGAGACTTAACACCTGTAACCAATCTCTCACCCATTGCTTAGTGTTTCTGTCTTTCTCTGATTTCCTTTTAAGGCAATTTTTTAAGGTTCTCTAGTTTCTTCACACACACTGTGTACTAGTATAATACAAGTTGTAAAACTATTTTCAAGAGGTACAAATTGTAATTAAGAATCTCTCTCTCTCTCTCTCTCTCTCTCTCTCTCTCTCTCTCTCTCTCTCTATATATATATATATATATATATACTGACTGGTTCCAGATCTGGTGTGGTACCATGAGGGATGAAGAAGCTTTGCACAAGATAAGGACATCAGTGCACAGTCCGGGACCAATCAGGTAGGAAGTGCTGTGATTTTTTTTAATTGCTCAAATCCCAATGGCAGCACAAATTAACTTAAGTTGCAGCAGTGCACTTGATTCAGATACAGTACATGTGGCCCATTTGCTGTCTGCTAGTCATTCCCTCTTATTGTTTTTTAGTCAGTTTCAATGAAACTTTATGCCCAAAGACTGAAAAAAATTGTTTCATGTGCCTGAATAATTTTTAAAAAAGGAAAAAAAAGTGCTTGGTGTAATCTTTTAGTATTCATTTTTCATTTACTTAAATTATTTTTTTAAGTAACCAGAACTTTGTCTCTGTTATCCTAGGGTGAGAGTTCCCCTGTCCAATTCCCTGTACTTTGCTGAGGCATATAACTGCCCAGTGGGCAGTGTGATGAATCCAGTCCACAAATGTGAGGTGTGGTGAGGGGGGCTGGACAGGCTCGGAGGAGGGTCAGGAGGGTTTAAAAAGAAAATTGAACATAATGTGCAGGATTCAAGGAAGTTCATTTTTGATAGAAAGTATGTGTGAATGAAAGGTTTTAAGTTTGAAAGATTTTAATCCAAGAGAAGTATCCTGTGTAACACTTTGTATGTACAGCCAGGAAAGTGTTTATTGAAATGCTGTTATAGTAAAGTGTCAGTGTTGATGTCTTTAGTTTGCCAGTAAGGGGTGCCTTACAATACCACCCTTAGCCTTGCTGGGTCTTTTTTAGAAATTAAATTTTAATATAACTGCGGTCTAGTAAAAATTGCTTTTTTAAGTTGAGGAAGTTGTGAACAATTCTCACTGAAATTGGCAATGTCATTGCTGTTTTTGGACTTTTTTCCTTTGAGAAATAACTGTATTGTGCAAAATGTAGACAGTGATAATAGAATATTTTATAATATGTACTGTAACATCTATGTTTTACTTATTTAAATAGAATAGTTATTGTATCTTAATACTACAAGCTAATATGCTTTGAATTTTGGCTTATGATTATTATTATTATTATTATTATTATTATTATTATTATTATTGTTGTTATTATATATGCATGCATTTTGGAGGAAAGGAAAAAAATCATTAGTTTGATATCAAACAATTTGTAAGAGCAAGATCATAAATTTTCAGTTTAATATTGATGATTTGAAGTAATGTGATACAGGAGGTTTTTCACATTTTGGTATTTATTTTTTCTTTCTTGTTCTCTTAGTGTATAATATTTAGAGTAGTGGAAAATGAATGAAATATGTGTTGCAATTGTACCCAAGATATTTGTAATATTGTTGATATTATGTGGTTTATGAAAAGACTTTGCTGATTGATACAGTATAAAATAAGGATGGGAATTTACCTCCTTTAGGAAAATTTTCTCTTTTGTATTGAAGACAGGAAAGTAAACGGGTTTGTATAAGGGTTTAAAATGGGGGAAATCCATGACATGGAAAGTGGTTTCCTTCTTGAATGGCATTTTTTCCATTCCAATATTTTTTAATATATTATTTTTATTTATTGTTTTGAGAAATATGGAAGAAGGTGAAGTTGGCTCTGCTCTATTTAACAGACATGTAAAAGAACCTTATTATATCTAGAACTTACATGCTTAATTTGTCATAAGTACATGCATTACCTTGTATTGATCAATTTTGGGGTATATCTATTTTTATCTCTAAACTGTGGGCCATTGCAATTAGAGATCTTTTTTCAATTTTCATGGTTGTTGAATACAAATTATTTATCTTTTGAAATTTTGATGTTTTAACTGTATTGTATATACCAGTATATATTAAAGATTTGCTGGACTGTGCCGTAAAAAAACTACATGCATATTAGCATATATATACATTTCACTTGATGGCATATGTGAAATTTTGATGTGCAATTTATTATTCAGTGGTAGATCTAAGGTTTAGGATAATTTATGATTGGGAAATACACATGAGCAGAGTACATTTTAACCCTGCTACTACATGTATGTTGCTTAACTTGATTTTTTTTTATGTACCAAAACATAATTTGTTTGTGATGAGAGTCCAAAGGATCGGCGGAGGGGTTATGGGCTTGCCCAAAGCACCCCATCCTTTAATTGCTAGTGTGAATGCTGTGATCTGATAAAAGATGATTTTTTAAATGAAATCACATTATTTTACCTACCTCATTCATTTTCAGGATTTGCTTTATTAGGTAAAACTTGGCAAACATTTATACACATTTTCCTTCACTCATTTGCAACAGATTACAAATATGAATAACCTTAACATTTTTCATTTGTAATTTTTTAATGAAATTTTGAAAATTTAAGTAAAATCTTTAGAATTTTGGAATTTGACAGATATTTGAGGTCTGACCTGCCTGTAAATAGAGGGAGATAGTTAAGACAGCAGGTTCAGGAAATTATTAATGCTTTAATTCTCTTGGGACCATTGCACAGAATGTTTTAGTTTATTGGTTCAGAAACCTGCAGATATTTTTGCCTGCATCAGGAAGGTATTGTTTGTACTTAAAAAGTGCTTTGAAAAATATGAATAAATGCAGAGGACAGGAAATCTCCTCCTTTATAAAAATCCCCCCCCCCCCCCCAACACACTTTTTGATGTAAAATATATGCAATATAGAATGTTGCTGGCCTGGTATGAAATGTTCCAAATTGGGCAAAGTTTAAGGGAGTGTAAGTGTTTACTCTTTTTTTATTAATATCTGTACTCTTGGTGAAAGTTAGATGGTGGGAAATTTTTGAAAATTTTTTCTCAGGCACTGGAAAGGCCCATGCTACAGCTGATATTTATGTATGCGGTAGTTCGTATGTTTTCCTACAAACTCTGATACTTTCGAATATTTCTGGTATCACTTAATTATTATTACTGTCACTGCCTGCATGAATTATTTATAGTTTACCTTAGCAAGGGGCGGATTGAGGTCGTCTTCTGTTTACATTGATGTTTACATTGACGGGAATCTAATTTTTTCTGTCGAAAGAAGGTCAAAAATGGAGGATGGTTCAATAACGATAATGTGGAAGACTGTCAGAAAATATCTCTGGATACACCCCCTGTACTTTGTATATTTTTGACAAATGTTAAAATTTGATTATACCATAAATACAGGTATATTCTAAAACATATTAATACTGATATAAACTATATTGTTCATACATATATTACATTGTATTAGTATTGTGTATACATGTGACTGGGATAACTGTGTACAGTGAATGTGATGGATTAATCTTAATACTGGTGTATATTGCCTATGGTCATAATGTTTTATGTGAAAAAAGATGTATTTTTGTGGAAATAAACATTTCTTTGTATTTTATGAGCAAATTGTTTGACATAAGCTTTATGTTAGGAAGAGGTGTGTTAATCTGATTGCATTCAGCGAGAATTAATGCAGAATTGGAGCGATATTCATAGAGCGACAGGCAGAATGCATAACTATTGTACCCATGGACTAACCAGTCCGCGGATCAAATATGGTGCCACTCACTTGTAAGCAAGCCGAGATTGAATTATTGCTCTGCCCCTGATGGAATGGTGCGCGAAAGAGGCGGAAATCCATTGTAAATAGTCAGCGGATCAGCTGTTTGTGAATCCGGTCATAGTTTCATTAAAACGAGTCCTAGTTGAGAGTTGGTGTGAGGAGTCTGCCTGGAGAAACGGTTGCGCGTGCCAGTTGTTTACATCACACCAAGACACGACGTTGTACTTAATTCACTATCAAATAACAATTACGTTTCTTTATATGTTTTCCATAACCTTGAGATAAAAGTCCTACTGGTACGATGACGCAATAAAACTTGGAAAATGTTAGTCTATACGTGACAGTAATTTTATGTTCATTGATATCACTATCGCAATACTAAGAGTAGTATCTACTTCAGTGTGAGCACGTATTTCTATTGCGGTCATTAGAGTCACCATGGTACAGAGTATTTAATCAACGTGATAGTATTAAGTCTGATTACTTAAAAGAAATATAACAATTTAAACCACACTTTTAAACGAATTCGTCACAGTTTGAGTTAAAGATATCGGTTTTGTCATTTTTGCTTTCTACCGTAGTATACAGAAGTGTTGATTAGGTACTGACGAGGAAAAGAGAAAATAAAACACATAAATACCAATGGTTCACTGACGGAAATTGTTTATTATGTAGGGGGTTTGTTAAGAAACTTTGTTTTATTCATATGGAGTTTGTTTGTGCAGGCCGTCTACGAGATAATTACTATTACCCGTGAAAACAAAACAAGTATGGCAACGCAAGATTAGAGTTCAAATCACCAAAATAATTCCATCTTACCATCTTCCCAGTTTTATCAAAATCTTCACTATCTACGCAAGGAGTTCTTTACAACTTCTTGACCTGCGGATCGGTCTTCCTGAGGCCCTAGTAGAAATTATTTTGCCATTTTTTGCATTTGTCTCCCGCATGAAACAAACACGCAACCTTGATAGTTAAATGAATGCGCCGAAGTTAAAAGTCATTGAATCAGGCGTCTTAGCAGCAGCATATAAAAGCGGCTTTGAATACAAAAGTTTTTTATCTTTGAGAACAATAGGCCATTTCAAGGCTCGAGAAAACCCGAAGGAATAGAAACTACAAAAATGAAGCCTGTATGTGCGGTGAGTGAAGAGTTATAGAGTATAAATAATCAATGATAATTTTATTCAGGTAGGACATAGATACTAGAATTTCAGCCTTGTCTGTTTCCTTGTTCTAATATTCAGCTTGTCAGATGGCATATTTCAAATTTTGACAGATTTTTGTGGTATAAGGGAAGGTTGGTGTACCTGTGGCGATGGTGATCCACAGGAAGACCTACATGTGTTTGTATTATATTCAATTCTTCTCTCTCTCTCTCTCTCTCTCTCTCTCTCTCTCTCTGTTTGTGTGTGTGCGTGTTTGTGCGTGTGCGTTTACGCGGGGGTTCATGCATTGTTCAAACTGGTTTCATACGAAAGCAAGTTGGATACCTTTTATCACCGCAAATATACGATCAAATCTTAATAAGTGATCATCGTCGAGTTTGAAAAGAATATGTTAGACCAGTCCCTTTTTATATGGGCGTTAGTGCTAAAAGATCGGCGGGTAATGCTAGTAAACGCCTAATTCGTTTATGAGGCCTGAAAATAGACTGTTTTGAGCAACGGATTAATATAATATACCACATAGAAATTTGATTGTGAAAATGCGCAGAACACTGATTCGCTGGTAGTTCTAGAAACACATGCACAATCGTAAAATGAATGGTATGTTTTTATCTCATCATTTGGCTATTATCTATCTCCTTAGACTTTAAGCTTTATTTTTCATTTATTTACTTATTGTTGCAGGTAATGCTGTTGATTCTCCTTTTTGCAACCTGTGAGGAAGCGCTTGGAGCAAGTGAGCATTACACAGATTAGACAGATAGATTTTGTATCTGAGATTAGAAACTTTTAGACATTTTGGCCTTTTGAAACTAAATTTTATTCACTTTACAAAAAAAATACAATTTGTGAGCATTCAGAGACAAACTTAATAGGCTTTTTACGTCATACTGTTTTTCTTCTTTAACTAACTGGTTCCCTAGATTAGTCATATAATTTTCATTAAAATAACTTAATTCAGGATATTGAGACCTAGCCTACACAAAGAAATTGAAAAATGAAAATAAAACAATTAATACAGTACTAGGATGACGCATGACAATCCGGAAACACATTTGCAATTGTGATCCTAATTATTTTATTGTATTTACTATATGCTAGTGCGTTGTCCTGATGTGGCTGGGGATGGTTCCTGTGAGCCGACCTCAGACACCTGCAGTACAGATGCTGACTGCCCTGACAAACAAATGTGCTGCTCCAATGGATGTGACCGTCTGTGCATGGTACCCATACGTTGTTAAGGAAAGGGGAGATCGTAGCAGTGAAGGTGCTGATATACTGATAAAAATATATCTATAAACTATTCCTACCATGACGTAACTTTCGAACAGAGAGAATAGCACTAGTGCCACGTGACAAGTGACACGTAATTAAACATTGTATTAAAGTAAAAGCAACTACAGTGTCAAACTGGTGTCAAAATTCATACAGAATCCTGATTAATGCAAAGATAAAAAAGAGGGATAGGTGGGGAAATCGTTCAGACCAAGCGAATTCCCTTAATTTGATCTGGCGTTTGGACACGATAAATAATGATAATAAATTTAAAGCGTAAATGGCATCGGCGATAGAGTTACAGTACGCACAAAAAACTCAATCAATTATGTTTTAATGGAATACTAATATTCCGCACCAATCTATCCGTCTTTAACAACAAATCACAGTCATTTTAGTTATGTGGTCTACTAAATGTAAAACGTTGAAATAATAAAGGTCTATAAAGCTGCTCTTGAGTTCAATATTAAAATTTTGGACGACCTCGTCCAATATTGTCAGCTTTCATCTCAATTACTTCCCTTTTTTCCCCGAGTATTTTTTTTCATTGCTTCCCAAGTATTTTAATGTCAGGTGTAACAAAACTGAGGGTACAGGTGACAGAAAGTCGGTCCTCCATTTAGTTGCAATGGTTAGGGTTAGCCTGACCTAAGTGGGTCAAAATCTAAGGCGAGGCTTACCTGTACATATGAAAGGGGAGCGGACTCTTTGTCATGGGAGACTCTGTCACGCTACACCGGCAATTGCAAGTAACTCAAAATCGTGGGAGAAACACGAGTTTTATAGTAAAATCTAGATTCGGTCGTTCAAAGGACGCACAAGGGACGCGGACGACTTTACAATGAGATGTGACTTAATTGCTTTGGCGACCTTCTAAGTTGGCGACCGAAATTAACGTCTACTTTGTCCTTTTACGCAACCTGGGAATCAAAGCATCTAGTACGAGTGTGATGAGGTAATAAAAATGCAAATTGTCACTCTATACGTGACAAGGATTTTCAGTCCTTGTTGATATCTTACGCCCAAATATTTCAGCATCAGAGCTAATTTGGCATATGGTCAAAAGGCAGAGATGTACTATGAATGTGTGTAAACGACAAAATTTTTAATTGTGAATGACTTGTAAATCTTAAAATAATAGTCCATTAAGGAGACGAAAATAAAAAACCACGAAAATTCAAAGTTTCACATGCAGAACCTACTCATCATATAGGAATTTAATTGACAAATAGGCAATATATTTGTGTGAGGAATGTGGAAGATAAGTGCTATTAGCTGTAAAAACAGAACACGAGTGTTACAACGCAAGATAGGCGTTCGAATTCATCGAAATAATTGGTGGGTGAAGGTTACAAGATTTATTACAATGACCTCTACCTACGTCATTTGGGTCGTTCTTTCTATGCCAGGCGTGAACTTAGCCTTAGTAGAGCTTAATTTGACTATATTTGCATTATATTGACAGCCTTAATGTCCTCAGGTTATACACCATCTAGTGATACGGGTATCTGCTATCAACATTTAAAAGTGCGATTAACGAAAGGAAAACGTTTTTTACGTATGTAAAAAAAAAGAGGACTTAAAAGACTTTAGAACACCGAGACGAAAAGCAACTACTGTACAGAAATGAAGCCTATTATTGCGGTAAGTGATCAGATACAAGAATATAGATAGTCCCTTCAGTCCGAGACACAATGTATCCAGAAAAGAAGAAAAATAAGGTAGAATCCTTTAATTTAGAAGCCTTAAATTTATCTAAGGGTGGAGGGTAGTATCCCCCCGCGAAAATTTGTCTCAGTCAACGTTCACTTGCGGCTCTCAATCCATCTAGAACATTTGGTGCATCTTTTAACAGTTCTAATGTTGTTCTGTAATGTAACAGTTCGAGAACTGTTTTTTGGAAGTCCTTCAGGATGTCCTAGAACAGATTAAGAATATTTTTCATTAAAAGAGAAAAACATTATGTTCTAGGGCAGGTTGAGAATCGTAAGTGAGCGTTAAAGATACCATAAGAGCAATAATTAAGAAATGGAAGACGGTGGGATCCCAAGTTGGGATGTTGTAACCAATCCCAAAATTATGCAGTGCCCTTCTTCTGTAGTGTGTGTGTGTGAGTGTGTGTGTGTGTGTGTGTGTGTTCGGGCGTGTGCATGCACGCACGTGTTCAAGCAATGTACAAGCGGTTTTAACACGAAAGCAAGTTGGGCATATTCCTCATGCTGCCACACTGCTCTGATCTCCACGAGAAGCCATATGGGGATACACGTATACACAAGCGTGTAAACCCAAGCGATGAGAATATACCGGTATTCACGATGCGAAGGAAGAACATCCATGTAACTTGAAGCATGGTTTTAAAGTTAAGGTACATGTTAAATTTTTGCCTGTGGTATGAGAAATGGGTGGTGATCCACCTTGAGATCCACATCGGGTACCGTAAGCCTTCTTAACACTGCATGGACAGCGTCCTTTCCATGTCTGCGTCCCTTCTACGATCAAAAATGTGAACAGGACGTTCAATGGTCGCCAAAGCAATTTAAATAAAATTAAGTGTATGGAACATAAAACTTCCAAGTGTTTTGAGCGGAATTGACCGGTCTGCTTCATGGACTGACCAACTTGGCATGGTCACCATGGCTGTCACCAGTCCTTGACTCTTTTGTGTGTGTGTGTGTGTGTGTGTACGTGTGTTTGTGTATGTGTGTGTGTGCATGTGTGTGTGTGCATGTGTGTGTGTGTTTAGACAGGGGTTCAGGCACTGTTCAACTGGGATTCATTTGAAAACAAGCTGAGCAGCAACTATCCGATCAAATTTTAATGATTCGACATTCTCGAGTTTGAGTTTAGGAATAGTGCCATGTTTTAATGAATTTATCAAGATAGGGATGTTCGAATGTTGAAAAATAGATTGAGTATTCTACATGTCTTCCCCTATAAAGACACATCAGTCAAAATCAGTACGTAAACAATATGTGTAAGATGCATGAGGTACATGATTTGTTTTGTATTTTAAACATTTTCGCTTTATTTTTCTTTTTCGACTTAATCTCATGAAGGCTAGTCATTTACATGTGCTTGTAATTCGAAAGCCGCACCTGTTGATTCCAGGCATTGCGCAATATTACCAGCATGTTTGGCGTTAAGCCACACTGATTAAATTTTATGGATGACATCTGCCCGCGCATTAATTTTCGCTTGTTCTCAAAATAAATCACCCCTTTGAAACTCCGGAACTGACTGCTGTCACGTCTTTGGCCACTCAAAATGCAGCAAAAGCCTGGATTGTCGCACAACTAATCTTCTACCTCAAAACCTGATAAACGGAACTTTCTGCAGATGCGTATTGCCACCAAACGTGGTCATGTTGTTGTCGTAAAAATACATAAGCATAAAAGACGAGGCGAAGATTGGTATGAAATCGAAAATTTTTATGGTCAAAATACACAATAAGATTAATGGTAGCTTTGGCACCATATCCACAAACTGTAAGTGCACAGTTTTTTTTTTATAATAATTATTACCATTAAATTTATATTAATTCTTTTATCATTATTTATTTATGCATTTATTCTGTTTTAATTGCAGGCAGTGTTGTTGGTTCTCCTTTTTGCAACCCATGAGGAAACCATTGCAGAATGTGAGCATTTCAGAGATAATTAAAACGATCAGATTTTGCTTAACAAAAATTACGTGACGTTCACACATTCAGATGTTTCTTGCAACTACGTTTTATGTATTTTAAATGGCACAAGTCTGTGAAGCGCGTTCAGAAACGAATGAAATTAAAACATTATCTGTCAATTTGTATGCACATCAAAATATATGTCAATTGTTTATTCCCAACATCGGCATTAATATGATTAATTGAATTATGTTTTTGCTTTCCCAGGTCGTTGTCCTAAACCGCCATTTTTTGGCATTTGTTGGGAGCTCTGCACTGGGCATGATAATTGCACTGGGATACAAATGTGCTGCTCAAATGGATGTGGCCACGTGTGCAAGGATCCCATCGATTGTTAAGGAATGGGGAAGTGACACGAGTGAAGACGCTGACACAGTTAGAAATGATGTTGTCTTAACTATTTCTACATCATGGCGGCACTTATTTCGATTTCATGACGTCACATGCGAAAGGGAAATTGTGTTGAATCAAAGGGGTTAAGTCAATAGCTACTTGAAAGGAAGACCACCGACATCATTTTGTCAAAACTGAAGTAGATTGATTAATGTAAATCATATGTATTGCATATTCTATGCTTAAAACTTTGAAGCCTATTAATGGTGAAACAAATCGAAACTTGTGATTTATTGCATCGGCCTATGACTGCGATAGCAGGTAACGAAATTGTTTGGACAAAACTTATTTTATCATTTGATCTTGAAAACAGCATTTTCATTAAATTGTTAAAGCAATGACGACATTACAATTTTTTTAAAGAGAAGTCACGCCATCAAATTACTGGACTGGCTACGCAACAAGATTCGATGAAAATATTCTGTAAAATGGCTGAATGCAACACCGTACCGTTTTCATTTAATACAGGTATATGTACTTCCAATATTTCAATTCTATCTTTTATATCTACCTTTTATATTGTGAACAAGAGGAAGCAGAGAAGTGATAAATAAATATGGGCTTTATGGTTAAACAATATCTTCAAACTTTTTTGTATTTTTTAATCTTTTGTACTTCCAATATTTCAGTTCTATCTTTTATATCTACCTTGTATGTTGTGAACAAAAGAAAGCAGAGAAGTGATAAATAAATATGGGCTTTATGGTTAAACAATAGACTTTTTGTATTTTTTAATCCTCTCCTACCAAGAAGACAAAATCGGTTAATTTTTCAATTCTGGTAGATATGTAGGTCAGCATTATTCAGAGTGAGAGCTATTTTTTATGTTACCATATAAGTATATGTGTATCCAATCAACGTAATTAAAAATTATAAACAATCTGTAAATTTTAAGAGAAAAACGAGATTATTACAAAATCAACACTTTAAAAAATCGACTTACTTTGAAGGTCAGAAGTGATTCAATAAACACTGGAAACATGGGAATATGGTCCTTTACCCCAGAAAATTCCGTTTAATGTCTCTTTTCCGCCGAAACAAAGAATTGTCATCCCTTTAATATGACGTTCTGCATCAAATAAACATGCAGTCTCAGTGCTGCCATCTAGTGATACGGGTATCTTCCAGCAGCATTAAATAGCGCCGTTCACGAAAGGACAACGTTATTTGCGTTTGGGGACAAGAGGCCTTAAAGGACTCTAGGACACCAGGACGAAAAGCAAATACAGTAATGAAGCCTATAATTGCGGTAAGTGATCACGCGGTTACAAGAATACACAGTGGACAATAGACCTAACTTTAGTTCAAGAATACCATACATCCAGAGACGAAGAAAAAAATTAGGTAGAAGCTTATGTATTGGCTGGAGAGGGATTTTAAAAATATGAAAAAGATGTATTTGCAATTGAAAACTCTATATGTGGAACTGTTTATAAACAGATATTTTTGCCGCATCCATTTGTTAATAACCAAGGGGGATATGAATTTTTCCTCTCTGTCCGGACTTGTGTTTTCCACGTATTTGAACGCTGGTTATTATTGTCACAAAGAGAAGCTGGTTCAGGTTTTGTTTATTGGGTATCCATGTTCTTATATTCAGCTAGTTCAGTGGTACCTGTATATTTCAAATTTTGACACATACTTGTGGTATGAGCAGAGGTTGCCCTAAGCAAAATGGAAAGGTTGGTATTCCGGTTTGCGTTGATATCAAATACCTTAAGTGCAATGAGAACTAGAAGACGGTGGTCCGTTAGAGGACGATGTGACCACATTGGGATGTTGTCACCAGTCTCCAAAACTTATGCAGTGTGTGTGTGTGTGTGTGTGTGTGTGCGCGCATGCGTTTATGTGTGTGTGTGTGTGTGTGTGTGTGTGTGTGCGCACGTGTGTATGTGTGTGTGTGTGTGTGTTTGTATGTTTGTGTACATGTGTGTGTGCATGTGTGTACATACGTGTGTGTGTTTGGACGGAGGTTCGGAAACTGTCCAAAAAAAACTGAGCAACCACTACCATTTTAACTATCCGGTCAAATTTTAATAAGTCGACATTGTCAAATTTAAAATAAATGTGTTTTTAAGATTTTTCTATTTTTAAAATACCACAAACAAGGTGAATCTTGAAAAATAGGTCTTCGCGTGTCTGCCCTTATAAGGTCACACCAGTCAACGCTTCAGTAACATTGTATGTAAGCTGACGTTTTTGGTTGCTGCAATACCCGCATCGCGTCATCATAGATTATGTAACATAGTACATAATGTGTTTCTTTGAAATAGTGTATGTTTTTTGACATTTTTAAACATTTACCCTTTTTACACCTAATTTCATGAAAGCGAGTGATCGTATTTGAAAGCAGCACCGGTTTGACACGTAGTCAATAGTGAAGGGGTGCCCAACGTTATCCTTGAACGCTAGATTAATATTGCATTCACATTGTGACAGTACTAATAACTGTCCGTTGACATAATGTGCATTTTTATGATTTTTTACATTGTAAAGACAGCCCCGTCGGTACCATGACAGCGTGGATTACACTGCATTCTTTGTCAGTCGGTATTGACCTCGCTTAGTCACTATGTGAGGTTTTTGGACTCTTTAAAAGACCCCATTCCAATAAACACCGTCAGTCTAAGTGGATCGACCCAACTCTGGAGGGAATCTCGTTAATTGCAATACGCTTAACTGAATGACACGCTTTCTCTTGTTTTCAACGCACTATTACCAACTTTTCTGTATCTTACATGTACGTGTATATACTTAAAGCTAGGAGGAGTCGTATCATTCAGTTAAGCTGACTGCAATCAGCGAGAGTCCCTGCAGAGTTGGGTCGATTCACGTTGACTGATGATGTCTATTGGAATGGAGCTTTGCTGCGGTGCACGATTATTGATAGCTATTACCTTAAGGCCAGGGTATCCCGGATTCTATTTTTATTTTAGACTTTACGACTCACTATAAACGGGATCGGAAGCATACTTTTTTTTTTCAAACAAATGACATTTAACGTGCAATGCAGCTACATTTTTTCTGTTTGTCTTTTTTGAATACTTTTTAAATTTTATTTTAAAGAGGAGAAAATGTCAATGCCAAATTTTGAGCATAAAGGCAAGAGAGTTTTTCTGTGCTTAACTGTAATTTCTCACACTCACCACAGCAGCACTAAATGCATTTTTCTATTTGATAAAGGAAAAATACGACCAATGCAAATTTCTGATTTTCTCAAAGTCAACGTCGATCGCAATTTTCATAATTGTCTGGTCTCAGTTCCGCTGCATTGTGAAATTTTAGATTTTACTTTTTTGTCCTGTCAACTGTAGATTAGATCTTACTCCTTGCGAAGATTTTGTATACTATGTCATCAAAATGGAAAGTTATATCCACCATAGAAATTTGACAGTCAAATTGTGCAGAATACTAGTGTAAACTGGTGGTTGCCTTGGCAAGACATCCACACACCGGAATTGGGTGCATAATTAATGAGCTTTGTCTACATTATTTATCTCTGAAATCATTTGTCATTGTTTTCTTTTGATAAATTTATTTTGCAGGTAATGTTGTTGGTTCTTCTTTTTGCAACCTGTGAGGAAGGCCTCGGAGCAAGTAAGCATTTCAAAGATTTAACCTTTTTTTGACAAAAATTTAAATCGTTCAGGCATATAAAGCTTTTATTTATTTCTTTAAGCACTATTCACAAACGGATTAAACCTAAACGGATATACTGTTTAAAGTAACTTTATCTTTTTTCCTACTGCCTCTCTGTCACTCACTTGTGCCTACATTGCTTGCTATCCATCTATTTATTTATTTATCTAGTAATTTATTTGATGTAGTTGGGTGTAAAGTCCATGATCTGTGCCTTAAATGCGAAGGTATTTATCTATACAGAAGTCATATGTGTCCAATTGAGTGCATTGAATAGTCCCATAAAAATATATTTGTATACTTTATAGAGTGCTGCCCCGAGGTGACTGGGCCTGGTATCTGTGTTGAGGCCTGCGATGATTGCGCTAAGAACGAAATGTGCTGCTCAAATGGATGTGGTCACGTGTGCATGAAACCCGTCAACTGTTAAGGAATCGGGAGGTGACATGAGTGAAGCCGCTGACACAAAGAAAAATAAGAATAACTGCATCAACTATGTCCACCATGACGTCACTTTCGAAAAGAGAATTATTATTTGAACTGGAAAACGTCTTTTGAAACAACATTTTCGTTAAATTGATAAAGCAGGGACCACACTGGACAATTTTATTAAAAGAGCAAAATCACGATCAAATAACTGGATGACTTTAACTGGCTACGCGACAAGATTCAATTATAAAATTAAAATGTAAAATGGCTGAATGCAACATCGCTTTCATTTAATATACATTTTGCGCTTAATACTGGTACTGCCAATATTTCAGATTTTCTTTTCTACCTTTTAGATTGTCCACAAGAGGTAGCAGAGAAATAAAAATAAATATGGGCTATTTGGTTCAAAAATATTATCTTCAGGCATTTTGTACTTTTAATCATTTTCTACCAATAAGACAAAATTGACTAAATTTATTAAGAGAGATTATTCGGCGTAGATCCTAGACACTTTATCCGTAATTGCGTTTTAGTACTGTAATTCAGCACCACAGAAATATTAAACAAAGCAGCAAATGGACATCCTTGAAAAAGTCAGAACTGAAAATAATACAAAATGATACAATAAAATTCTTCACTGATCAGCCTACACTGCCACAGATTAAAATATGAAGGCTAAATATCAGTGTTATTTTCAAAACAGGTCTTGAACATACTAGCAAATCAAACATGAGAAAAATCAGATTAAATCAAGTGCGCAAAATATTTAAAAAAGACTGGTCCTAAACAGATCCAGGTCATAAATATGAGAAACAATAAATGTCTAGAAAACATACAAGAGAGTCTCAAGAAAAACAGCCACTTAACTTGGATTTTAGAGTAATGTCTGTATTTTATTTTCATTTATATGCCAATTAAAAGGCTGTAGATTCAAAGCTTTTATGTGATAGAAGCTATATATTATTAAGAGAGGTTTATTGCGGTTTTGAAGTATGAGATGAAAATCCCAAGCTCGGTGCCATTTTTACCCAACTGATATAAATGTTGCAAAGTCTAAATGCCTTCTATCGGGGTAACTGCATAACGTTTGTACAATGGTGGTCTAAAAACGGAAAAGTATCGAAATACATCATGCAATGTGATTAAATAGGCCCAGTCCCGTTTTTTCGGTTGTTCCCTTGTCTCTGTTTATATAAAACAAAGAACGATTGCGTGTCCAATGTTGTAGATTTTACTTGATATACTCGCATACATCATTCGCGGGTTTAATGCCCTTTTTATTTTCTCTGGAGTTAAGGAGTCTCTTGGCACGAGGGGGAAATAGAGGATACTATTTGAAGATATAAAATGATGGACGAGGCGGAGAAAACGCAAATCACAAAAATGCAATCCGTTTACTGGTGGAAATTATTTGTTTTACATATCATCAAAAATGATTCATCGTTTAAGGGTGGTTATTTTTGCGAGGCTTCTGGAGAATACTACATGTAGGTATGTGCTTGTAGATGTGTTTGTGAAGACAAAACATAATGTGAAAACGCAAGCATATATCGATCGAATCACAAAAGCCTCAATTTACCAAGTTTTACTGACCCCGTAATTTGTCAGTGTAGGCCTACATTTACGTGTAAACACATTGTGGTTTTCTAAATAATTTTCGTGTTTGACATTCATGATCATTTATCAGTTTTTTAGAGGAAGTAAGAAAATAAATATAACAATATATCAATGGCGATTTCGTATAAATAAGAAAACAGTGCGCCAAGTGGACATAGGTCAAAGCAGCGAATGGCAAAAGCTTTTTGTAGCAGATAGCATAACAGGGGAAATCTGGACATGAAGAAACTAATAACTGCGGTAAGTTACGAAACACGTTATGAAAAATAATAAATTGAAACAGTTCTGCCAATTTTAATCACTGAGAACTTATAAAATGATTCTCAGGTTTTCAAAATGTCTCGTTCCTGTTTTTGAGAATGATCTGGGCCTTTTGGACATTTTATAACATTGTATGGGGAAAATGTTATCCGAGTTTGTGCTATTTAATCATTTTGAATTCACTTACGCCGTTTGTTAGATATCAATAATAATTATAGGTTAAAATAACATGCATGATACAGATTTTAAAGCTACACCGTAATTATAACTGCAGGTTGCGTTCAAATTAATCACATCATGTTATAGTATCCCATCTTTTTAATTGAACTGAAGGTACCTGTATGTTTGCATTATTATTCATTATTTTAAATAATTGTTTGCAGGTATTGTTCTTGGTGATGTTGTGTGAATTCTACCAAGAAGTCTCTGGACAGTTTGGGCGTAAGTGAGCGGCGCGTGAGTGAATACCAGCAATATATGATGTCTTAGTCCCCTAATTATATATATAGGGGCATATACATATATATATATATATATATATATATATATATATATATATATATATAATGAATCTTTATGAAAACTGGAAAATGCACTCAGGTAGCGCAGACCAGCGGCAAGGGCCCTTCATTGATAGATTGTGGTAGTTGAGAGAACATCCATTGCACAAATCAAGGTCATTTGCCCTTTTTGTCAGTGGCGAAGATTCCTTTTAGTAGGCCCTCTATTTGAAAAAATCTTGGACCAAGATGGTAATCCGGATCACGGATCACCACTACATTGTAACCACTTTAATGTTGGCTCATTTCTGACCTACCTAACTTCATATATACCGTGTTTAAAAAACATGGTTCATCCTGGAATGTTTCAGAGAAGTTACCTCCATTTCTACATATTCGAATATTATGAGTTCAGTGTGCTGCCCGCCGACCCCACCCTTTGGCATCTGCAGCGTTCTGTGCAATCCGGCGACTTATTGCGGCTACGGACGGTTATGCTGCTCCACTGGCTGTGGATACACATGTAAGTAGGCTGTACCTTGCTTCCCAGGGTGATACACTGCACCGGAACTGTCGTCACAATTGAATGTGTCAATGGGAAGTGACGACATGATTGTTAATGTGGAAAGGAAATGGTTTTCATTTTGTACGATCAAATGGAAGGAATTCAATATCATCACATATAAATAGAAATTTGTTATATATTTGCATCGTGCATTGAAAGATGACGGTACAATTTGAACTCAGTTCTGTCAAATTATCTTTTCAAATGTCTTCTGTCTTCAAATTTAAAACAGAAATGGGGATATTTTATATGAAACTAGGTGAAATAAAATTGAGCAGATGAAAAAAATTTTGAAAGTGTGCAATTTATGTGGCTTTATTGTAATGCCTCGTTCGTTATATTTTTGCTCTTTTTGCGTCCGAACAACAATAACTAAAACTATTATATATAACTTTGTAATTAATTGCAAAAAAATCAATTATATTGGCCTGTTGTGTTTTTTAAATTAATTAATTTTAAGAGATTATTTCTTTCATTTGTTTTATTTGCAAATTACTAATTGCTCTACGACGAACTTTATTGACTTTCATTAGGAAAATGTTAACTTTTCATGTTTTTGTCTATAATTTTGTTAAAATACCTTAACTTTACCTTTCAACCACCGGAGTTCACGTTACTGAAAATCAAGAAACATGTACAAACACTGTTAATTTGGTCCAATACCAATTTATCATGACAGTCAAATGGTAGTTCTTACCTGCACGAATTAGCATTATTATAACCTAAGCCACGATCTTGGGTAATGCTTATCTAAGCAAAAAAGTACCTTAAATGTTTAAGAAAATACCAACACCTTTATTGCCTCATATCAAATAGGCTGTGGGTGGACATTTCAAGAGGCCGGAAATTAAGGGCTTGATTACACACTCTTCAAAACAGTAACACTGTTAACCGATAACGTACTACTTAACCCCTGTAACTGTGTCATATTCTGCAATAAATGGATGAAGTACGAGCACTCGTAAGGGGATTAATCTATGTTGAATGGTTATTTATTTTGTCCTTAGAGCCAGGAAATTGCCCCTTCCAGAAATGGCAGCTGATGATAGGCACACTGTTCAGTTGTTACGTCAGGCGAGGATATTAGAAATGCAAAAGTTTTTTTATTTATTTATGTTTTTTTAATTTGACATCCTGTTTAAACGAGTTTTTAAAAATAGTGACAGCGTTTGCTTTGATTGGCACTTACATTAAAAATATCAAGCCTGTAGTTAATAATTTCAAAATGGGTTATTTTTCTAAAAATAGAGTGAACCTTTACACTTTATAATTAAGCTAAATGTCGTTAAACCTTTTCTTGCACCCCTTGTTCGTGTACCCGTTCCCCCTTCCTTCTGGCCAGAATATATAGAAACATTTTTTTACGGAACACGTCATAACTCTCTAGTGTCTGAAGCAGTCTTTATAAAGAATGATGAATGGAAACGAACCTTTCTCAAGGAGAGAGAGACAGAGCGAGCGAGAGACTCAAATGATTACTCTCTCTGTCACAAACGCGCGCGCGCCAAACACACACATTGTCGCACAGACCAGATTCTGTATATAAAAATATATATGATTCAGTGCAACCATAAACTCAAAAACACTCTCCCTTCAACTCATCAAAAAGGATCACCACCTGGCCACTACCACGACTGAATAGCCCTTCACTGAGGAACGGCTGTTACATACCCATGCCACGGTGGAGCTAAAATGTATAAAAGGGGGTGACTTTGTTAGGTAATGTACAGACGTCCTCTGGAAGACAAAACCGGTAAGTTTGGGGTTTTAAGCGTTTCCTTAAACCTTTTTTTATTAAATATATAATATTCAATATAATCTTTTAATTTCTTTAACCAATAGGTTAATTTTTTTCTTCTGACTTGTTACAAATCTTTTTATTTGTTTTAAATTTCAGACAAAGCAAAATAAAGTCAAAGGTGAAACTTTTCTAAATCAACTTTGAACAGCATATGAATTTTTGTCGACGTTGACTAGGCGATACAACGGTTGCGCATGTCTCATGTGAAATCCATTTTTGATTTTTATTTTTTTTCTTTTTTTCAACATCAGCCGTCCAGGATGAAGCTCCAAGTTCTTGTTGCTGTTATTGTAGCGGTAGCACTTGCCGAGGCGAGAGGTTAGCTTTATCATTTCATAAGAGATGTAAAAATAAAGTAAAAAATAACAAAGAATATTTTTTAAAACATAACAGAAAGTAAGATAGAAAGATACAATGGATTAGGTTTAACTATCGTATCATCTAAATATTTAATCTGTTAAAACCTATTGGTTGCTTCCAAATGTAGAATTCATCTTTGGTTTAATTATTTAAATTCAGTTCAGTTCCAATTTCAAATTACTCACGTACATGTACTGTTCATAAATACATGCAGAACTGATTACAAAACCAAATTACAATTAAACTCTAGCAACAGTGGTCAAATATTTATAGTTTACCATAATTTTGAACTTTATATATATTAACGTAGTGAGATTTTCATGCCATCGTTTTCTCTGTATACATTAATGGTTTGGGGGCTGCAAAAAGACCAAGGTTAGCTTGCAAAGATTGGTGACAAACTTTGAAATAAACTTGCACCCCAATGAATGCTCTTTATAATCAAAATGATATCATCAGTCAACAATGTGTCCACTTAATTGCCTTTGTATTGCAGCACCAATAAGGTATGCTCAGCGCGGTACCAGGGTTGCTGGCGATGGAAGAAGCTACTTGGTCAAAGTGAAGGACAATGCTGACCGTAAGTGGCGCTTTTCACTTACCAAATAATCACGTGGTCCACTTCTTCTAATTTTGTACCTCATCAGTACGAGCTGCGGAATCACCCGAGTTTGCGAGACATCACTAGGCATATGTGCTCTTTGGTTTTAGTTTCACTCACATTGAATATCTACTTTTATTCATGTGCTAGTACATGCATATGTACAAAGGCGTACTATAAAAATTTAATTTAAAAATGCAAGTTGTGAGTACACTTGAATTTAACCACCGCCCCTTTTTGTGTTAGCTTGTTGATAGTAAAAACATTTTGTTGAATGAATATCGCATAAGCGATGTCTCCAAAAACATCGATCATTTCGATTTTTTATTTATTTATTTATTTATTTATTTATTTTCAGCTGACCGTGTGATCATGCGGGGGAGAGGTCAGATGCACCGCCTGATGAACTTCGGTATGGAACAGATGGACGCCGAAGTGGGTACCCAAAAGATTAAGATCGGCAAGACCAAGTTCTTCACTGTCAAGGGAAACCCGAAGTAAATGAACGTGTTCAATAAAACATTGTATTAATATAATACACATTTATGGAATTGATCTTTACAATCTAACAATGGTCACAAAGCAAACTCAAATGTATTACGTTTCTTTCATTTGCATATCATATTTAAAAAATAAGAATTAATCAACAATGCTACAAACCTACTCAAAGCATTCATACAAAAGGAATGTCTGAAATTGCACAGTGTATGTCTCAAATACATATCGTGTTATTTTTACAAAATGCAATGTCTTTTTCATAATAGCGGAGTCCTGCAAAGTCAGATACGCACCTTTTTTGGTCAAAATCTCACTTACAGTTACCTTTAAATTTTTGGTCTTCAGACTGTTGGAGTCGATGCAAGAGGACGATGACATAGAATACATTGAGCAAGAGACCATGTTCTACAAGTCTCCCTGCAGCGACACTCAGGATATCAGTCACAGCGCCTTGTGGGTGAGTAAAACGCACCTCTCGAAATTTCTCCCCAAATCTCGCCCCTCTCAAGGAGGTTTTGTGGCACTTGCGTACTAAAGACGGAGACTGGTGAAATTCATTCGAATTCGTAACGGTTAAAATAGAAATCTGAAACTCAAATATAAGTTAAAAGATTGTCATTTCCCTACAGTTTGGGGTAGAATATGCTGGCGATTTAGTAGAAGTTGTTAAAATTTTCAAGATTTTTTTTTTTAATTTAGAAATATAAAGAATACCTGAATTCGTTACAGGGCCTTGATAGGATTGATGAACGTAATGGCGCAGAAAGTGGCTCTTACTCTCCCTCAGGTAAACATTTTTCTTTACTTATTTCTCTTTTTATTTATTTACACGTATCGTACAACATTAAGGTTCGGTCCTTTCAACTTGATTGAATCGTATGATAATATTCATAACCGATCTTTATTATTTTATCTCAGGTGATGGCGCTGGTGTCTATGCCTACATCTTGGACACGTAAGTTGATCAGCATTTATATTAAAAAAAACTTAAGACTCAAGAAAAACACTTAAAGATGCATATGAAGCGAGAACTTAATTATGTCCAATTATTTTTGATAAATCCGACCAAATGTCATAGTTTCTAATAGTATAACTTAAAGAACTACCACAGGGTTTCGTTACATGATTTCCACGCGAACGATATTTGCGAATGATATTTGACTGTAAATGGCAAATTGTATTGCAAGCAAAGAAATATACTATAATATTTGTATGCATGCATAATGCATGAGTACATATGTATGTATGTATGTGTGTATGTTTTCGCAGTGGTATCCACACCGGCCACAGTGACTTTGGAGGCAGAGCCATCAACGCCGGGGTAGGTGAAAGTACTTCATCATCATACCATTCTCTACAATTTGTACCCCAATTTCTCCTCTATTGACAACGTCTATGACATGTTCTCATAGATCCACTCCCAAAATGAACTGTTTGATATTCCATAATTTTCCATAGTTAGGCCTATACCTCAGCGAGCATTCAGATTTAGATATCAATAACATTAATTACTGGCAGACTGGGAGTAAACTAAATATGATTATTATTATCATAATCAATTTGTCTGTGTATGTATTCATTAATTTTATATTGCTTTATTTATTGCATATTTAAATGAAAGATGAAACATGTCTTAAATGAGGTGATTGTATAAGTATTTTCCTATAGTCCGCCTACAGCCATCCTTATGGATCCAGCGACGACGATGTTGACGGTCACGGAACGCACGTGGCAAGTATGTATCCGCTTGAGCATTTTCTATCTTTGGAAATCTGGTAAAACATGACCTTGTGCCCCTTTTCACAAAAAGTCATAAGTTCCTGGGCTACTATAAGTAGACAAAACGTATGCCTCAAAAACATACTTTAGACCTTTTGTGGAACATGAGGAGAATAGGCGCTAGTTTGAAATTAAGACCCAACATTTTGGTCTCCCTTAACACAAAACGAATCGGTCGGTAATTTAATGAAAAATTGTATTTCTTAAAAAAAATAAAATAAAAAAATAAAAAAAGAAGTAGAAGACAGGACTTAGAGATCTACAGTATTTCAGAACATTATTTACTTTTCTAAAATTATACCACAGTCAACGATACTCTTCTACCTGATAGACATTTACTCTACACATTATTGTATTCGCTTTGTTGTATGTGCATAATAATACAGATACCAATGATAAACAGGCAGTTATAATGCATGCTTGCTCTGTTGTGAAATTTGCATAATAACACATATACCAATAATAAACAGGTACTTATAATGCATGCTTGCTCTGTTGTGAAATTTGCATTCGTCTCTTTACCAGGCACAGTGGGTGGAACCACCATGGGAGTTGCCAAGAGGGCTACCTTGGTAGCAGTCAAGGTTCTTTCCGACGATGGATCCGGCTCTATTGCGTAAGTTTTTGTTTTGCATGCTGGGGATTATCGAGTGGAAACATTTGTAGATTGGGCATTCCTTTTTCCATCGCAAAGACTATTAGGTATATAATATTTCTACCCGTCGACGTGTATTGAATTGGAAACCAAATGCATTACAATTTTTTCGAAACTGCAATACTACATTGTACAACTGCGCATACAAAACTGGAAATTGGCCATAAGAGGGCACACATTACTTTGATTAATTACCTCAAAATTAAAAAAAAAAAGAACATTACCCTGATGTAATAAATCGATTGTCATGTCATTTCAGAAACATCGGTTTGGGTATTGAATATGCAGTGAATGACGCCAAGAGAAGAAACGCTAAGGCCGTCATCAAGTATGTTAAAGCTATACACACTTTCATGTTTTACTTTCAAATATCTATCTAGAAAATAAAGCCATAACATAATAAAAAGGAAAGCAAAGGTTGGTTACCAGCATTATTAACTACAGAATCTTATATGTTGACAACTTCTGTTTTGTTATGCTATATTTTGCTGACTAGAAGAAATGTGTTGCAGTTCCTAGGATATTTTGGCATAAAAGGTGTACCGCTTATTATGTGCATTTCATATACATGTATCTTTCATATTGCAGCATGTCTTTGGGCGGTGGTGCAAGCACTGCTTTTGATGAGATGTGTAATGATGCTGTCAGAGAGGTTGGTAGACTACTATACATACTATGTGTTTTTTCTTGTCAAAATAAAGCGCGTATTTCAATACATGACTAAAGTGTGCCATGCGTTAAATGTGTTATCTGCATTAGTCATGAAATAACGTAAACAGAATCATGCTGGGGGTGAGACTTGGAAACAAAGGTTAATGAAAAATGAAAAACAAAGAGTTCTATTCTCGATTCAGTCCTGGTAATTGGTTCTGGCACAGCTTAAACATTTATTTATTTATTTATTTATTTATTCATTTATTTATACAGGGCGTGACAATGGTTGTCGCAGCTGGCAACTCTGGTGCTGATGCATGCTCAGAATCTCCAGCCAGAGCCGCTGATGTGTAAGTATTGAAGTACTGTGTGATAAAGTTCTTTCCAAGAAATTCCAACATTCGCGTGTGCACGTGTGTCTCCAACTCTCTAGGTGATTTTAAATTATTTAAATATATTTCACCTCCAAGTAACTATTGTAAAGCAATATATGGTATAGTTATCACCGAATATCACTGACATATACATCTAGGTGGATCACTTTTATTACAGAATCAGCGTTGCAGCAAGTGACAGCAGGGACGACCTGGCGAGCTTCTCGAACCACGGTAGATGTGTGGACATCATTGCACCGGTACGTTATATCTCATTTATTCTCGCACAAACCCCTAAATTCTACCGTGAATTTCATTCCCGCTAAATGTATTCTTGTTTTTCTACACAGCCTGCCTGTGATTGCAGTGTCTTTTACATCTTTCATATATCACCTCGGAGACTTATTTATAAAGAGTGAGCAGTCCTGAAATTCACGATTTTTATCATTTATTATTTTAGGGAGTCGGCGTCCTTGGCGCACGCACCAAGACCAACTCTGGATCTGTAGCCTACAGCGGTAAGTAAGGGATACTTACTTTGGCTTAAGATAAATCATTTATTTGCCCAATTAAGTGGGAATAGGGGCGTATCTTACATAAAATTTTATGTGGGTGTTGTTTTGGAGCGACAACTACTTTATTCAAGTAGCCTGCTGCAGATCATCCATTAAATGAAAATCATTCCTTGGTTGTGTTTTAATTTTTGTAAAATTTTAAAATACTTTTCACCATTTTCAGACCCTTGAGTTGATAATGAGAAAGTCTTGGCAATTGAATACACGTTTAAATTTGATATATCATTCATATGAAATACATAGGCAATACATGTGTAAATGCACCTGCACAATACTATCTTAATGTATTATTTTTGGGCATTTAAGGAACATCCATGGCCGCCCCACACGTGGTACGTATTTTTCAGTTTGATAAAATAAGTGAGCTCTAGCATCGATACCTTCACTTGATTTCCTGGCATTGCTATATCCGCACTAGTATCGATTAGAAGATTTATGCTTTGTGCAAGGTTCAACTGTTTTTAACATATATGTACATGTACATCCCAAAGAAACGAATTATACACAGTTATATCTCATTATAACGACCAAAAACTGGGCAGATTCTCACTCGGTTTTATTTTAACAGTATTCCCCCACATTAGACACAGAAAATGCTTATTATATCCATTGCTACCAGCTCAAAACCGTTCAGAATTGGCCCATCTCTTAAGATGACAATATTAATCATGTTGGCTTTTTTTTTTATATTATACCAGGCCGGTGCCGTTGCGGTCTTCCTTGGTAACCAGTCTGGAAATCCCACTCCTGCTGAAGTGAGAGAGTGGCTTGAGACCAAGTAAGTACATGGATTCCACATAATTGATATATACTTTATTGGAAATATATTTATTGGAGTAATGGTTAATAAATTGTTGATTAACCCTAAAACAAGGGCAATAATGTCTATTCAGTTTGGTTTCACTTGGACGTTATTGGAACTAAAAGTCGTAATTTATTGAGTAAATTTAAGCAGGGCTAATAATCATCATAAGAATATACTTACACGTGAGTGCGTTTTTTGTAACTTTGCTGATTGTATGTATCTATTTCATATTTCCTTTCTATGCTGATTTATTTGTCATTATTATACAGTATTAAGGAATATTATTGACGTTTTCAGCGCCAGCGAGGGCAAAATCAATGTCCCAACTGCTAGCCGCCCGGGGGCCAGTTGCTGCCAGACCACCACCCGCAACTGCAACAACAAGTGCCCCACTGTAAACAAGCTTCTGTACGTTGGCTGTTAGACCCCATGGGAAGGCAATACCTTATGGAAAAGCAGAACTTAGGCATATATTCGGTTTCACTTTTACTTGGTAATTCTAACACTGGCAAATTTCAAGATAATTCGAATTTAACAATGGGACTGTAAGCATGGCTTCACGTACGTCAGTCCGGACAATAAGTTTATTTTTCTTCTCGGTGAATTCAAGTTATTCTTCAGGAATAAATTGCATTGGATGTGATGTTACGCCTTTTTTTTATGGACGATTTTTAGGCACAATAAAAATGTAATTTTAAAGGTGGGGAAAAACTGTATAAAGAAGTATATTGAAACGGACTGACAACTTAAAGATGGAGTTCCATAACGGCAATATTGACCATGGTTGTGTCTTGCTGAAATGCTCTTCCACTCATTGTCTAAGTGGAATACTGGACAACGTAGGTGATAGCACAGCACTTTTTTTTTCTTTTTTTTTTTGTAATTGGGGTATATTTGTAAATTTATTGCCGAAAAGTCTCTTCGAAATTTTCAATGTGACAAAAAAGTTCTCAAATTTGACTGCTTCACATCCGGAGTTTAAGAGTAATGTCCAATGTGTTCCATCATTCAACAGTGGAGTTATATACAGCAAATTTTCATTTTTTTAATGCTCAACATTTTTCTCACAAGGGTATATCAAACAGTATCGTTAACCGTTTACAGAGTCACCACGACCCATAGTTTTGAAGGAATCCGGTGGCACTAGTGATAGTAAAATAGTAAACAATATCCCACTTTTCTTAATATTTTTGGATAGCGTTCAACGTGGTGATATAAGGAAAATCCCCGTATAATATTCCTTAAGGTCTGGCCGGAAAACACGCTTAGAAATGAACATGCCCCTATATTTCACTTTACGGGTGTAAATTATATGAGTGTTAGAAACCTTAAATATCTTTACAAATTTTTACTGACGGCTTACAAAAATTGGCACATTAAGTGTGGTTAACGGACTTCAGTCTTATTTTATATTTTTAAAGCACAATGTATGAACAAATTGTACTTACAATTAAGGAAATGGTTTGAAACGATATTGAAAGACACCTTATAGACTTTAAAGTTTAAAGACACATATACTGCAACCATCCAAGGTATGATACCAAAGATACCGCTGACGTTCTGATGCCAAAGGTGTTGTAAAAACGTATTTCACCATTTCTTCAGCCAACAAGTGTGCCCTCGTAAGTGACTAGGCGGAATATTATGTCATCGCCATCATTCGGATAGAATTTATCCGCTGCTATAAACAAAAGAAAAGGAAAAGATTATTGATATTCCTAAAAGGAAGTAATGACATAATGAAATAATACAATATTTTGAAGAGAGAAATGATAAACCCATTTGTTAATTTGCCAATTAATGCATTCCTTTACCCTACTGGACGACAGGGCAGGCAGGCAGACAGACAGGCAAACAGACAGACAGACAGACATGATACAATACAGTATATACCAAGCATTGTCAGATGTCACTTTCATCTTNTCCTTCTCTATTTAGGTCCAAGCTTTCATTATGAAAGTTTCCAAATGAGCATTGTTCTTGGAGAGAAAATGCGGCATATGATGCACGACAAGTAGGCCCTACTAGTAGGCACTCACATTAAAAAAAGCCATAGACTAACCCTTCAAGAAAACGACGAAAACCGGAAGTGCATCGTGACGTCATTCAATTGTATTTAAGATAATGTTTTATGATTGCCCGATGTGGACTTGCATATTATAGTAGAATTAATTGAATGAATGAAATCGTGCATTTCTGAGCTTGAATTGTCAGAGTGAACAAAGTGTACAGTAGACCTACATGTACCCCTAATATGCCTACTGTAGACTAAAACATTGAAAAAAACAGTTTAATGTGTCATAAACAATAAGTTAAATGCCACGTTTGACACTTTATACAAGATGCTTCAATTTACTTGACAACGGGGGTGTTTGCGCTAGGCATACCTGTAAAACGGCGAAAACGTGCATTTCCCGTTTTTGTCAACATTATGAATGTGTCGATTTCTTTAAGGATGAGTTAAGAAAACTTACTAGTTGTTAAAGGACTGCTTGGTGATTGCAACATCTGCCAATAGATACGTTCCTTTGAACTTGAAGCCACGCCCATCAAAGATGTGATTGACACACCCCAGCTAGTCTGACGACTGGTAAAACTGTGGAAGAGAAACACTGCATACTATCACAAGATTTACAAAAATGGATGCATTTACAACATTAACTTAAATAAGAATGGAGCAGAAGCCGGACGATGGGTATCTTACGGTTTAATCAATCCATCGATTTTTGGGTGCAGGCTCCGTTTATATAGCAAAGGCAAATTAACCTCTAGTTAGCCCTACTAAATCTGTCCCATTCTGTAGTTTGCAAGGTTGAATTGCAACGCTGTTACTAATTTTTCAGCATCATTTTCCATATCTTTTTACAGATTCTTGTTAAAATGCTCTACATGTAACATGATTTACTTATTGTCGACTGAAACGTATCAATGACAAAGATTACTTAATGTAAACACAAAAATTGAATAGGGCCTACCATAAATAGGGCCTACTTTTAGCCCCGATTGAATGCTAAGAAGGGCTTACGTTTTCATATATCATTTTATTAATTGTATACGTAAAACGTAGGCCTACTTTCCCTTTATTCATTTTGAAATCGAAGCTGACAAAGTAACCATAAAATATATTTAGGCTATAGCAAATCATATGAAAATACCCAAACCATTGAACAGATGTGCATGTATATGGGACATGTGCACATTAATTGCTACTGACGTAACATCAAACAGAAAAGACCGTTGTATATATGGACATAACCATGTGACCTTGAATGCCTGAACGGGGTTCTTTGATTACCTGAAACCGACCTCGCCTGCTTCCAGTTCTCTCATGGCGTAGTACAGACTTGTGCCGTTGTTGGTAGTCACGGTAAAGCGCCGAGTGGTCCCAGGTGACAGCCGTGTGGACTGGAGTGTTATTGTGAATGAAATGGGCTGTCCCGGGGTGGTTGTACTCATGGGTGCAGAAGTTCCTGAAAATTGGAGTTTTTTTATTTATCAGTCTTCGACTCTGTACCCCCCTTTCCCCAGCTAAAACAGCGCAGGGTCGTGGACTGAGAAAAATGCTTGAAGCAGCTGTTCAAGTTCATGTTTAAACTCTATGAGCAGTTCTACTTTAAGGTGGGGGGAGGGGGGGGGGAGGAAACTGATCCCAGACCTGCAGACCTGCGTATCAACATCATTTACGTGGATCCTTCTACTCGAAAGTTGTATTCCAAGAAATGCATATAACTTGATGTGGCTCGGTCTATTCTTAAGTTTTATTGAGAAAAATGCACATTTAATTATAATTTGTGTAAAATATGAAGTTTTTTACATGTAAGCTGATACCTTTTCTGCAAATCACTCTGATGTCAGCGTAAGTCTTATTGGCCAGCACTGGCATCACGTGGGTAGCAGCGGAGATGCTTTGGAATGAACCGTCTTCTCCTTTGAAAAACGGCATGACAAGTTTGATCAATAATTGTAGACAGAGTTTGTCAATAAAATTCTTGCCTATTTCCTATATTCACAAATATCCAAAAACTTGGGTCCTTAGCTTGTGGCAAGGTGAGAAAAGGGATACCCGGGAACTGAAATGTTTGAATGTCACTAATATTTTCAAACATTTGAAAATCAATGGTGCTAACTATTCATGCGTATGAAAAACAATTTACATGGAAAACAAGAAATGTTATTCACATGAGGAGTTCTCTGTGAACAGTGAAGGAATAACGCAAATGAAGCTTTCTTCATTTTTTCGCACGGCCCTCGTCGTTGGTTACTGTCAACATTGTGCGAACGTCAGATGGCGTTAGTGGCGCTTGTTTGACAAAATTAGTTACCTTGCCCTCTCCCCTGTTTCACGTGTATTTTCGCGTCAAGGAAGACACTTACCCATTGCCTTTAGCAAAACCGAAATCGCATTTTTCTTCAAACCAGTCAAGTCTGGGTGACTTACTGCATCAAATGCCTGTTTTAAATGTAATGAATTGAATTCAAGTAAAAGTCTTTCTTCAGATAATTAGATACATTCAGTGATCTAGTTTGACAATGGATTCTGTTCCAAGTTTTAATTATGCTAAAATAGTTCATAAAAGGCAGAAACGCTCTTAGTTCCACAGAAATGCCGTTAAACGCCTCTAATTGTCAGTATTTCCTAACCATTCTCCTCTTAAATGGAGAAAGGAATTAGTCCCGTCTTTATATCATGTGCTCGGAAATAAAAGTGAACATAAATTATTTATTTCACGTTAAGGGTATTATATTTGCCATTTAACTTAAATGATTTAACTTAATTGATTTTTCCAATGAGCTAAATGAATATAAACAAAATGAACACCTGCAATGCAAGACTGGTTGTATACTCGTTCCCAAAGGATCCATCGTTTTTCTTCTTGTTCAGAATATATTTGACTCCCAAGTCCATGGCAGATGTGACGTCAGCTTGGTTGCGCACGCATGATAAGGCGATCACCGACATTGCTGCCTCATCTAAATTTATGAAAATATAAAATCTCAAAATTAATTTGATAACGGCATAAATATACATGTTTGTGATCCGGGAATAATACTTAAATGTTGCTTTAAGTAGTATTCTTTAGAAATTTCGTGATAAACAACAGACCTTAACTGTCAAAGTGCCTTTCGGCCTTTTGTTTTTAATTTGTACGTCTTTGAACAACTTACTCTCCCAGTTTCATTTGAATAAATTACTCATAACATCATATTGAGTTTGTTCAGAAATCTGACCAAAATAAGTAAATTCCAATTCTCTGCAGTTTTAATTCACTTTTGAATACCTATTCCAAATGTGTAATTCCCGGCATCATTCGCCATTTTCTGGACAAATCTATCATCGACTGCGACCCCCGCCGCACACAGAGCTAGCACTCCCCAGGCGTAGGCGAAGTTGTGATTAAAGTAGTGGCGTGGGAAGCCATTCATGTGTTTTTCCATTATCGCCACCAGGTCGTGGCCGTAGAAGTCCTGTGGGTTTTGGCAGGTGGCCACCAGAGCACAGATGTATTGGCCCAGTTTTCCTCCATACCATTCCTCCTTGTCCAGTGTTGAGTCACTGGGAAAGCAAAATTGCAATTAATGCTACACGTAATTAAACAAGGGGTTTATTTATTTATAGCAGTATTATTCTACGTAAATGTACATCAAGGAGGGGGGGGGGGGTACAGACCCGTTCAGATCCAGGGTGTTGTTAAGTGGAAAGGGGATGAGCAGCAAATGTTCTAGTCTAAAGTGGATCGCTTATAAATAAATATAACAGTACAAAAAGCGACATAAATCAAAACAATTTTTGCATATCTTTTCTTTGACATATCATTTACATTTGGTTGGTAATTATAATCACCAACCAAATGTAAATGATATGTGAAAGAAAAGATATGCAAAAATTGTTTTGATTTATGTCGCTTTTTGTACTGTTATATTTATTTGGGAGAGAGGGGGCTCCAAAGTTAAGGGTATAGGAATGTGGCCCACTGTGCTTCTACCCTTGGATTTGCCACTGAGGCAGACAGAACGACTCTATGGTGTTTAAACAACAGTCACAACAACCCTTTCTCCCTTGGGCTTACCTGCTTAATGCTGCCAGCAGATCCAAGTTCAGTTGTTTGACGCTAACAGCTACATTGGGGTCACTGTTATCGAACCAACCGCCGTCTGCAAGCTGAAGAGCAAGAATGGCTTCCGCCTCAATTCTTGTCCCCCATCCCCAGTCTGCGTNTATATATATATATATATATATATATATATATATATATATATATATATATATATATATATATAATAAGGGGACTAAGATCGCAATTGCCCTTATATATAGCGGGACTAAGATCGCAATTGCCCTTATATATAGCGAGGCAAAGGGTGTATTTCTCATTTAAGAAAGTTGAAGGATTTTACTCCAAATGAAATGATTTTCACAATTTTTTTACAAATGCATTATAGAAAGTATATTTACATTCGCAATCATTGTATGGTATGGGCGGGCCACTGTAGAAGAACGTAAGCGTCTAGATATGGTCACATCAACGTGCGACAAAATCATTGGGGGGGGGACTAAAGCATCAAATACTGCTGGTATTCACCTCACACAAGAACGGCACGACAGCCTCCAAGGAGGTTGGGGTGGGGTTGGGTGGGTGGATGGGGGGGGGGGGTTAGTTTCATCTCCATTCTTTTTTCTTTCTGTTAAGATTACTGAGATAACTATAACAGCTGTGGGAAGATTTTGATGAAATTTTGATGTTAGGTCAGAAATGAGCCAACAATAAAGTGGTTACAATGTAGTGGTGATCCGTGATCTGGATTACTATCTTGGTCCAAGATTTTTTCAAATAGGGGGCCTACTAAAAGGATTCTTCGCCAGTGACAGAAAGGGCAAATGACCTTGAATTGTGCAATGGATGTTCTCTCAACTACCACAATCTATAAGTGAAGGGCCCTTGCCGCTAGTCTGCGCTATCTGAAGACCAGCGGCAAGGGCCCTTCACTGATAGATTGTGGTAGTTGAAAGAACATCCATTGCACAATTGCGATCTTAGTCCCCTTATTATATATATAATAATTTTAACTGTTTGTCTATGTGGTCCTTACATGTAAGTGAGCTATAGAATTCTAACCCCAGTAGTCTAAAATTGGTTACTTGCTTTACTGCAATGATATAGCTTTTTAAAAAAGAACTTGGTACTGGGCTTTCCCCATGTTTTAACAATTAAAATTTAACTTCCAAAACGTTCAGTATTGTAACAAAATTATAGACAAAAACATGAAAAGTTAACATTTTCCTAATGAAAGTCAATTAAGTTCGTCGTACATTGTAGAGTAATTAGTAATTTGCAAATAAAACAAATGAAAGAAATAATCCCTTAAAATTAATTAATTAATTAAAAATCACAGCAGGCCAATATAATTGGATTTTTTGCAATTAATTACAAAGTTATATATAATAGTTTTAGTTATTGTTGTTCGGACGCAAAAAGAGCAAAAATACAACGAACGAGGGATTACAATAAAGCCACATAAATTGCACACTTTCAAATTTTAATTATTTTTTTATTTGCTCAATTTTATTTCACCTAGTTTCATATAAAATATCTCCATTTCTGTTTTAAATTTGAAGACAGAAGACACTTGAAAAGATAATTTGGCATAACTGTGTTCAAATTGTACCGTCATCTTTCAATGCACGATACAATTTTATAACAAATGTCTATTTATATGTGATGATATTGAATTCCTTCCATTTGATCGTACAAAATGAACACCATTTCCTTTCCACATTAACAGTCATGTCGTCACTTCCCATTGACACATCCAATTGTGACGACAGTTCCGGTGCAGTGTATCACCCTGGGAAGCAGTGGACAGCCTTCTTACATGTGTATCCACAGCCAGTGGAGCAGCATAACCGTCCGTAGCCGCAATAAGTCGCCGGATTGCAGAGAACGCTGCAGATGCCAAAGGGTGGGGTCGGCGGGCAGCACTCTGAAGTCATAATATTATAAGCGAATATGTAGAAATGGAGGTAACTTCTATGTAACATTCCCGGATGAACCATGTTTTTTAAACACGGTATATATGAAGTTACCAGTACACAGGGTAGCCTACAATGTATGTAACAATGCGATTCTTTTAATACTACAATTAAATATTTGAGGAAATGTACAACTACCCTATAATAAATAAATAAACAAATAATGTGCTGTAAAACGGCTTCAGATATTATAATATATATATATATATATATATATATATATATATATATATATATATATATATATATAATAAGGGGACTAAGATCGCAATTGTGCAATGGATGTTCTTTCAACTACCACAATCTATCAGTGAAGGGCCCTTGCCGCTGGTCTTCAGATAGCGCAGACTAGCGGCAAGGGCCCTTCACTTATAGATTGTGGTACTTGTGTTGAGATACCTTGACTCCATCCGGAAAGAATCGAAACATTTAACAATTTGAGATATATCTGAAGCCGTTTTGCAGCACATTATCTGTTTTTTTATTCATTTTAGGGTAGTGGTAAATTTTCTCAAATATTTAATTGTAGTATTAAAAGAATCGCATTGTTACTTAGGCTACCCTGTGTACTGGCAACTTCATATATACCGTGTATAAAAAAACATGGTTCATCCGGGAATGTTACAGAGAAGTTACCTCCATTTCTACATATTCGCTTATAATATTATGACTTCAGTGTGCTGCCCACCGACCCCTACCTTTGGCATCTGCAGCGTTCTCTGAGATCCGGCGACTTATTGCGGCTACGGACGGTTATGCTGCTCCACTGGCTGTGGATACACATGTAAGAAGGCTGTCCCTTGCTTCCCAGGGTGATACACTGCACCGGAACTGACGTCACAATTGAATGCGTCAATGGGAAGTGACGACATGTTTGTTAATGTGGAAAGGAAATGGTGTTCATTTTGTACGATCAAATGGAAGGAATTCAATATCATCACATATAAATAGAAATTTGTTATATATTTGCATCGTGCATTGAAAGATGACGGTACAATTTGAACTCAGTTCTGTCAAATTATCTTTTCAAATGTCTTCTGTCTTCAAATTTAAAACAGAAATGGGGATATTTTATATGAAACTAGGTGAAATAAAATTGAGCAGATGAAAAAAATTTTGAAAGTGTGCAATTTATGTGGCTTTATTGTAATGCCTCGTTCGTTATATTTTTGCTCTTTTTGCGTCCGAACAACAATAACTAAAACTATTATATATAACTTTGTAATTAATTGCAAAAAAATCAATTATATTGGCCTGTTGTGTTTTTTAAATTAATTAATTTTAAGAGATTATTTCTTTCATTTGTTTTATTTGCAAATTACTAATTGCTCTACGACGAACTTTATTGACTTTCATTAGGAAAATGTTAACTTTTCATGTTTTTGTCTATAATTTTGTTAAAATACCTTAACTTTACCTTTCAACCACCGGAGTTCACGTTACTGAAAATCAAGAAACATGTACAAACACTGTTAATTTGGTCCAATACCAATTTATCATGACAGTCAAATGGTAGTTCTTACCTGCACGAATTAGCATTATTATAACCTAAGCCACGATCTTGGGTAATGCTTATCTAAGCAAAAAAGTACCTTAAATGTTTAAGAAAATACCAACACCTTTATTGCCTCATATCAAATAGGCTGTGGGTGGACATTTCAAGAGGCCGGAAATTAAGGGCTTGATTACACACTCTTCAAAACAGTAACACTGTTAACCGATAACGTACTACTTAACCCCTGTAACTGTGTCATATTCTGCAATAAATGGATGAAGTACGAGCACTCGTAAGGGGATTAATCTATGTTGAATGGTTATTTATTTTGTCCTTAGAGCCAGGAAATTGCCCCTTCCAGAAATGGCAGCTGATGATAGGCACACTGTTCAGTTGTTACGTCAGGCGAGGATATTAGAAATGCAAAAGTTTTTTTTATTTATTTATGTTTTTTTAATTTGACATCCTGTTTAAACGAGTTTTAAAATAGTGACAGCGTTTGCTTTGATTGGCACTTACATTAAAAATATCAAGCCTGTAGTTAGTAATTTCAAAATGGGTTATTTTTCTAAAAATAGAGTGAACCTTTACACTTTATAATTAAGCTAAATGTCGTTAAACCTTTTCCTGCACCCCTTGTTCGTGTACCCGTTCCCCCTTCCTTCTGGCCAGAATATATAGAAACATTTTTTTACGGAACACGTCATAACTCTCTAGTGTCTGAAGCAGTCTTTATAAAGAATGATGAATGGAAACGAACCTTTCTCAAGGAGAGAGAGACAGAGCGAGCGAGAGACTCAAATGATTACTCTCTCTGTCACAAACGCGCGCGCGCCAAACACACACATTGTCGCACAGACCAGATTCTGTATATAAAAATATATATGATTCAGTGCAACCATAAACTCAAAAACACTCTCCCTTCAACTCATCAAAAAGGATCACCACCTGGCCACTACCACGACTGAATAGCCCTTCACTGAGGAACGGCTGTTACATACCCATGCCACGGTGGAGCTAAAATGTATAAAAGGGGGTGACTTTGTTAGGTAATGTACAGACGTCCTCTGGAAGACAAAACCGGTAAGTTTGGGGTTTTAAGCGTTTCCTTAAACCTTTTTTTATTAAATATATAATATTCAATATAATCTTTTAATTTCTTTAACCAATAGGTTAATTTTTTTCTTCTGACTTGTTACAAATCTTTTTATTTGTTTTAAATTTCAGACAAAGCAAAATAAAGTCAAAGGTGAAACTTTTCTAAATCAACTTTGAACAGCATATGAATTTTTGTCGACGTTGACTAGGCGATACAACGGTTGCGCATGTCTCATGTGAAATCCATTTTGATTTTTATTTTTTTTCTTTTTTTCAACATCAGCCGTCCAGGATGAAGCTCCAAGTTCTTGTTGCTGTTATTGTAGCGGTAGCACTTGCCGAGGCGAGAGGTTAGCTTTATCATTTCCTAAGAGATGTAAAAATAAAGTAAAAAATAACAAAGAATATTTTTTAAAACATAACAGAAAGTAAGATAGAAAGATACAATGGATTAGGTTTAACTATCGTATCATCTAAATATTTAATCTGTTAAAACCTATTGGTTGCTTCCAAATGTAGAATTCATCTTTGGTTTAATTATTTAAATTCAGTTCAGTTCCAATTTCAAATTACTCACGTACATGTACTGTTCATAAATACATGCAGAACTGATTACAAAACCAAATTACAATTAAACTCTAGCAACAGTGGTCAAATATTTATAGTTTACCATAATTTTGAACTTTATATATATTAACGTAGTGAGATTTTCATGCCATCGTTTTCTCTGTATACATTAATGGTTTTGGGGCTGCAAAAAGACCAAGGGTTAGCTTGCAAAGATTGGTGACAAACTTTGAAATAAACTTGCACCCCAATGAATGCTCTTTATAATCAAAATGATATCATCAGTCAACAATGTGTCCACTTAATTGCCTTTGTATTTTAGCACCAATAAGGTATGCCCAGCGCGGTACCAGGGTTGCTGGTGATGGAAGAAGCTACTTGGTTAAAGTGAAAGACAATGCTGACCGTAAGTGGCGATTTTCACTTACCAAATAATCACGTGGTCCACTACGGCTAATTTCGTACCTCATCAGCACGAGCTGCGGAATCACCCGAGTTTGCGAGACATCACAAGGCATATGTGATCTTTGGTTTTAGTTTCACTCACATTGAATATCTACTTTTATTCATGTGCTAGTACATGCATATGTACAAAGGCGTACTATAAAAATTTAATTTAAAAATGCAAGTTGTGAGTTCACTTGAATTTAACCACCGCCCCTATTTGTGTTAGCTCGTTGCTAGTAAAAACATTTTGTTGAATGAATATCGCATAAGCGATGTCTCCAAAAATATCGATAATTTCGGTCTTTTATTTATTTATTTATTTATTTATTTATTTATTTATTTTCAGCCGACCGTGTGATCATGCGGGGGAGAGGTCAGATGCACCGCCTGATGAACTTTGGTATGGAACAGATGGACGCCGAAGTGGGCACCCAAAAGATTAAGATCGGCAAGACCAAGTTCTTCACTGTGAAGGGAAACCCAAAGTAAATGATCGTGTTCAATAAAACATATGTATTAATATAATACATATTTATGGAATTGATCTCTACAATCTAACAATGGTCACGAAGCAAACGCCAATGTATTACGTTTCGTCCATTTGCATATCATATTTTAAAAATAAGAATTAATCAACAATGCTACAAGCCTCCTCAAAACATTCATATAAAAGGAATGTCTGAAATTGCACAGTGTGTCTCAAATACATATCGCGTTCTTTTTACAAAATGCAATGCCTTTTTCATAATAGCGGAGTCCTGCAAAGTCAGATACGCACCTTTTTTGGTCAAAATCTCACTTACAGTTACCTTTAAATTTTTGGTCTTCAGACTGTTGGAGTCGATGCAAGAGGACGATGACATAGAATACATTGAGCAAGAGACCATGTTCTACAAGTCTCCCTGCAGCGACACTCAGGATATCAGTCACAGCGCCTTGTGGGTGAGTAAAACGCACCTCTCGAAATTTCTCCCCAAATCTCGCCCCTCTCAAGGAGGTTTTGTGGCACTTGCGTACTAAAGACGGAGACTGGTGAAATTCATTCGAATTCGTAACGGTTAAAATAGAAATCTGAAACACAAATATAAGTTAAAAGATTGTCATTTTCCCAACAGTTTGGGGTAGAATATGCTGGCGATTTAGTAGAAGTTGTTAAAATTTTCAGGTTTTTTTTTTAAATTTAGAAATATAAAGGTATAACTCGCACTGAATACCTGAATTCGTTACAGGGCCTTGATAGGATTGATGAACGTAATGGCGCAGAAAGTGGCTCTTTCTCTCCCTCAGGTAAACATTCTTCTTTACTTATTTTTCTTTTTATTCATATACACGTATCGTACAACATTAAAGTTCGGTCCTTTCAACTTGATTGAATCGTATGATAATATGCATAACCGATCTTTATTATTTTATCTCAGGTGATGGCGCTGGTGTCTATGCCTACATCTTAGACACGTAAGTTGATCGGCATTTATATTAAAAAAACTTAAGACTCAAGAAAAACACTTAAAGATGCATATGAAGCGAGAACTTATGTCCAATTATTTTTGATAAATCCGACCAAATGTCATAGTTTCTAATAGTATAACTTAAAGAACTACCACAGGGTTTCGTTACATGATTTCCACGCGAACGATATTTGCGAATGATATTTGACTGTAAATTGCAAATTGTATTGCAAGCAAAGAAATATACTATAATATTTGTATGCATGCATAATGCATGAGTACAAAGTATGTATGTATGTATGTGTGTATGTTTTCGCAGTGGTATCCACACCGGCCATAGTGACTTTGGAGGCAGAGCCATCAACGCCGGGGTAGGTGAAAGTACTTCATCATCGTGCCATTCTCCACAAATTGTACCCCAATTATCCTCTATTGACCACGCCTATGACAGGGAGACATATTCTGATAGATCCGTTCCCAAAATGAACTGTTTGATATTCCATAATTTTCCATAGTTTTACCTCAGCGAGTATTCAGATTTAGATATCAATAACATTCATTACTGGTAGACAGTGAGTAAAGTAAATATGATTATTATTATCATGATCAAATTGTCTATGTAGCTATTCATTTATTTTATTTTATTTTTTAAATAAATATTATTTTTGCATATATAAATGAGACGTCTTAAATGAGATGATTGTATAAGTATTTTCCTATAGTCCGCCTACAGCCATCCTTATGGATCCAGTGACGACGATGTTGACGGTCACGGAACACACGTGGCAAGTATGTATCCGCTTGAGCAATTTCTATCTTTTGGAATCTGGTAAAACGTGGTCTAGTGCCTCTTTTCACAAAAAGTCATAAGTTCCTGGGCTCTATAAGTAGACAAAACGTATGCCTCAAAAACATATTTTAGACCTTTTGTGGAACATGGAGAGAATAGACGCTAGTTTGAAATTAAGACCCAACATTTTGGTCTCCCTTAACACAAAATGAACCGGTTGCAGTCTAATTTAAAGAAAAACTGCGCCATTCTTTTTCTTAAAAAAAGAAAAATAAGACGACAGGACTAAAACAGTACTTCAGAACATTATTTACTTTATGTGGGCAACTGTAAATTATTTTTGAACTTAACAACGCCAAAATTGTGGTCTGAAAATCAGACAGTGGACAGAGTATTGTAAATGCTCTGTTGTGAAATTTGCATAATAACACATATACCAATAATAAACAGGTACTTATAATGTATGCTTGCTCTGTTGTGAAATTTGCATTCATCTTCTTTCCAGGCACAGTGGGCGGAACCACTATGGGAGTTGCCAAGAGGGCTACCTTGGTAGCAGTCAAGGTTCTTTCCGACGATGGATCCGGCTCTATTGCGTAAGTTTTTGTTTTGCATGCTGGGGATTATCGAGTGGAAACGTTTGTAGATTGGGCATTCCTTTTTCCATCGCAAAGACTATTAGGTATATAATATTTCTACCCGTCGACGTGTATTGAATTGGAAACCAAATGCATTACAATTTTTTCGAAACTGCAATACTACATTGTACAACTGCGCATACAAAACTGGAAATTGGCCATAAGAGGGCACACATTACTTTGATTTATTACCTCAAAATTAAAAAAAAAGAACATTACCCTGATGTAATAAATCGATTGTCATGTCATTTCAGAAACATCGGTTTGGGTATTGAATATGCAGTGAATGACGCCAAGAGAAGAAACGCTAAGGCCGTCATCAAGTATGTTAAAGCTATACACACTTTCATGTTTTACTTTCAAATATCTATCTAGAAAATAAAGCCATAACATAATAAAAAGGAAAGCAAAGGTTGGTTACCAGCATTATTAACTACAGAATCTTATATGTTGACAACTTCTGTTTTGTTATGCTATATTTTGCTGACTAGAAGAAATGTGTTGCAGTTCCTAGGATATTTTGGCATAAAAGGTGTAACGCTTATTATGTGCATTTCATATACATGTATCTTTCATATTGCAGCATGTCTTTGGGCGGTGGTGCAAGCACTGCTTTTGATGAAATGTGTAATGATGCTGTCAGAGAGGTTGGTAGACTACTATACATACTATGTGATTTTTTCATGTCAAAATAAAGCGCGTATTTCAATACATGACTAAAGTGTGTCATGCGTTAAATGTGTTATCTGCATTAGTCATGAAATAACGTAAACAGGATCATGCTGGGGGTGAGACTTGGAAAAGAAGGTTCATGAAAAACAAAGAGTTCTATTCTCGATTCAGTCCTGGTAATTGGCTCTGCCACAGCTTAAACATTTATTTATTTATTTATTTATTTATTTATTTATTTATTTATTTATTTATACAGGGCGTGACAATGGTTGTCGCAGCTGGCAACTCTGGTGCTGATGCATGCTCAGAATCTCCAGCCAGAGCCGCTGATGTGTAAGTATTGAAGTACTGTGTGATAAAGTTCTTTCCAAGAAATTCCAACATTCGCGTGTGCACGTGTGTCTCCAACTCTCTAGGTGATTTTAAATTATTTAAATATATTTCACCTCCAAGTAACTATTGTAAAGCAATATATGGTATAGTTATCACCGAATATCACTGACATATACATCTAGGTGGATCACTTTTATTACAGAATCAGCGTTGCAGCAAGTGACAGCAGGGACGACCTGGCGAGCTTCTCGAACCACGGTAGATGTGTGGACATCATTGCACCGGTACGTTATATCTCATTTATTCTCGCACAAACCCCTAAATTTACCGTGAATTTCATTCCCGCTAAATGTATTCTTGTTTTTCTACACAGCCTGCCTGTGATTGCAGTGTCTTTTACATCTTTCATATATCACCTCGGAGACTTATTTATAAAGAGTGAGCAGTCCTGAAATTCACGATTTTTATCATTTATTATTTTAGGGAGTCGGCGTCCTTGGCGCACGCACCAAGACCAACTCTGGATCTGTAGCCTACAGCGGTAAGTAAGGGATACTTACTTTGGCTTAAGATAAATCATTTATTTGCCCAATTAAGTGGGAATAGGGGCGTATCTCACATAAAATTTTATGTGGGTGTTGTTTTGGAGCGACAACTACTTTATTCAAGTAGCCTGCTGCAGATCATCCATTAAATGAAAATCATTCCTTGGTTGTGTTTTAATTTTTGTAAATTTTAAAAATACTTTTCACCATTTTCAGACCCTTGAGTTGATAATGAGAAAGTCTTGGCAATTGAATACACGTTTAAATTTGATATATCATTCATATGAAATACATAGGCAATACATGTGTAAATGCACCTGCACAATACTATCTTAATGTATTATTTTTGGGCATTTAAGGAACATCCATGGCCGCCCCACACGTGGTACGTATTTTTCAGTTTGATAAAATAAGTGAGCTCTAGCATCGATACCTTCACTTGATTTCCTGGCATTGCTATATCCGCACTAGTATCGATTAGAAGATTTATGCTTTGTGCAAAGTTCAACTGTTTTTAACATATATGTACATGTACATCCCAAAGAAACGAATTATACACAGTTATATCTCATTATAACGACCAAAAACTGGGCAGATACAAAATAGGTCCGATTCTCACTCGGTTTTATTTTAACAGTATTCCCCCACATTAGACACAGAAAATGCTTATTATATCCATTGCTACCAGCTCAAAACCGTTCAGAATTGGCCTATCTCTTAAGATGACAATATTGATCATGTTGGCTTTTTTTTATATTATACCAGGCCGGTGCCGTTGCGGTCTTCCTTGGTAACCAGTCTGGAAATCCCACTCCTGCTGAAGTGAGAGAGTGGCTTGAGACCAAGTAAGTACATGGATTCCACATAATTGATATATACTTTATTGGAAATATATTTATTGGAGTAATGGTTAATAAATTGTTGATTAACCCTAAAACAAGGGCAATAATGTCTATTCAGTTTGGTTTCACTTGGACGTTATTGGAACTAAAAGTCGTAATTTATTGAGTAAATTTAAGCAGGGCTAATAATCATCATGAGCATATACTAACACGTGAGTGCGTTTTTTGTAACTTTGCTGATTGTATGTATCTATTTCATATTTCCTTTCTATGCTGATTTATTTATCATTATTATACAGTATTAAGGAATATGATTGACGTTTTCAGCGCCAGCGAGGGCAAAATCAATGTCCCAACTGCTAGCCGCCCGGGGGCCAGTTGCTGCCAGACCACCACCCGCAACTGCAACAACAAGTGCCACACTGTAAACAAGCTTCTGTACGTTGGCTGTTAGACCCCATGGGAAGGCAATACCTTATGGAAAAGCAGAACTTAGGCATATATTCGGTTTCACTTTTACTTGGTAACTCTAACACTGACAAATTTCAAGATAATTCGAATTTAACAATGGGACTGTAAGCATGGCGTCACATGAGTCTGGACAATAAGTTTATTTTTCCTGTCAGTGAATTCAAGTTTTTCTTCCGGAATAAACTGCATTGGATGTGATGTTACGCCTTAGTTTTTTTTTATGGACGATTTTTAGGCACAATAACAAAGTAATTTTAAAGGTGGGTAAAAACTGTATAAAGAAGTATATTGAAACGTAATGACAACTTAAAGATGGAGTTCCATAACGGCAATATTGACCATGGTTGTGTCTTGCTGAAATGCCCTTCCATTCATTGTCTAAGTGGAATACTGGACAACGTAGGTGATAGCACAGCACATTTTTTTTTTTTTTTTGTAATTGGGGTATATTTGTAAATTTATTGCCGAAAAGTCTCTTCGAAATTTTTAATGTGACAAAAATGTTCTCAAATTTGACAGCTTCACATCCGGAGTTTAAGAGTAATGTCCAATGTGTTCCATCATTCAACAGTGGAGTTATATACAGCAAATTTTCATTTTTTTAATGCTCAACATTTTTCTCACAAGGGTATATCAAACAGTATCGTTAACCGTTTACAGAGTTATCACGACCCATAGTTTTGAAGGAATCCGGTGGCACTAGTGATAGTAAAATAGTAAACAATATCCCACTTTTCTTAATATTTTTGGATAGCGTTCAACGTGGTGATATAAGGAAAATGCCCGTATAATATTCCATAAGGTCTGGCCGGAAAACACACTTAGAAATGAACATGCCCCTATATTTCACTTTACGGGTGTAAATTATATGAGTGTTAGAGACCTTAAATATCCTTACAAATTTTTACTGACGGCTTACAAAAATTGGCACATTAAGTGTGGTTAACGGACTTCAGTCTTATTCTATATTTTTAAAACACAATGTATGAACAAATTGCACTTGCAATTAAGGAAATGGTTTGAAACGATATTGAAAGACACCTTATAGACTTTAAAGTTTAAAAACATACACTGCAACCATCCAAGGTATGATCGCGCAAAGATACCGCTGACGTTCTGATGCCAAAGGTGTTGTAAAAACGTATTTCACCATTTCTTCAGCCAACAAGTGTGCCCTCGTAAGTGACTAGGCGGAATATGATGCCATCGCCATCATTCGGATGGAATTTATCCGCTGCTATAAATAAAAGAAAAAGAAAAAGATTATTAATATTCCTAAAAGGAAGTAATGACGTAATGAAATAATACAATATCTTGAAGAGAGAAATGATTAATCCATTTGTTAATTTGTTAATTAATGCATTCCTTTACCCAACTGGACGACAGGGACAGGGCAGGCAGGCAGGCAGACGGACAGACAGACAGACAGACAGACATCATACAATGTATACCAGACATGCATGTTATATTAGCATTGTCAATTGTCACCCGATTATGAAAGTTCTCAAATGTGCATTGTTCTGAGACCGACAGAAAATGTTGTCATGTGATGCATGACAAATGCCAATAGGAACTCACATTAAGAAAAGCCATATACTCACCCTTCAAGAAAACGACGAAAACCGGAAGTGCATCGTGACTTCATTCAATTGTATTTGAGAAAATGTTTTATGATTACCCGATGTGGACTTGTAGAATAAAGTAGAATTAATAGAATATATGAAATCGTGCATTTCTGAGCTTTAATTGTCAGAGTGAACAAAGTCTACAGTAGGCCTACATGTACCCCCAATATGCCTACTTTAGACTAAAACATTGCAAAAATAGTTTAATGTGTCATAAACAAGAAGTTAAATGCCACGTTTGACACTTTATACAAGATGCTTCAATTTACTTGATAACGGGGGTGTTTGCGCTAGGCATACCTGTAAAACGGCGAAAACGTGCATTTCCCGTTTTTGTCAACATCATTAATGTGTCGATTTCTTTAAGGATGAGTTAAGAAAACTTACTAGTTGTTAAAGGACTGCTTGGAGATTGCAATATCTGCCAATAGATACGTTCCTTTGAACTTGAAGCCACGCCCATCAAAGATGTGATTGACACACCCCAACTAGTCTGACGACTGGTAAAACTTTGGAAGAGAAACATTGCATACTATCACAGGATTTACAAAAATGGATGCATTTACAACATTAACTTAAATAAGAATGGAGAAGAAGCCGGACGATCGGTATCTTACAGTTTAATCAATCCGTCGATTTTAGGTTGCAGGCTCCGTTTAAATAGCAAAGGCAGATTAACCTCTAGTTAGCCCTACTCAATCTGTCCCATTCTGTAGTTTGCAAGGTTGAATTGCAACGCTGTTACTAATTTTTCAGCATCATTTTCCATATCTTTTTACAGATTCTTGTTAAAATGCTCTACATGTAACATGATGTACTTATTGTCGACTGAAACGCATCAATGACAAAGATTACTTAATGTAAACACAAAAATTGAATAGGGCCTACCATAAATAGGGCCTACTTTTAGCCCCGATTGAATGCTAAGAAGGGCTTACGTTTTCACATATCATTTTATTAATTGTATACGTAAAACGTAGGCCTACTTTCCCTTTATTCATTTTGAAATCGAAGCTGACAAAATAACCATAAAATATATTTAGGCTATAGCAAATCATATGAAAATACCCAAACCATTGAACAGATGTGCATGTATATGGGACATGTGCACATTAATTGCTACTGACGTAACATCAAACAGAAAAGACCGTTGTATATATGGACATAACCATGTGACCTTGAATGCCTGAACGGGGTTCTTTGATTACCTGAAACCGACCTCGCCTGCTTCCAGTTCTCTCATGGCGTCGTACAGACTTGTACCGCTGTTGGTAGTCACGGTAAAGCGACGAGTGGTCCCAGGTGACAGCCGTGTGGACTGGAGTGTTATTGTGAATGAAATGGGCTGTCCCGGGGTGGTTGTACTCATGGGTGCAGAAGTTCCTGAAAATTGGAGTTTTTTTTTTTTTTTTTTTTTTTTTTTTTTTTTTTTTTTTTTGATCAGTCTTCGACTCTGTACCCCCCTTTCCCCAGCTAAAACAGCGCAGGGTCGTGGACTGTGAAAAATGCTTGAAGCAGCTGTTCAAGTTCATGTTTAAACTCTATGAGTAGTTCTACTTTAAGGTGGGGGGAGGGGGGGGGAGGAAACTGATCCCAGACCTGCAGACCTGCGTATCAACATCATTTACGTGGGTCCTTCTACTCGAAAGTTGTATTCAAAGAAATGCATATAACTTGATGTGGCTCGGTCTATTCTGAAGTTTTATTGAGAAAAATGCACATTTTATTATAATTTGTGTAAAATATGAAGTCTTTTACATGTAAGCTGATACCTTTTCTGCAAATAACTCTGATGTCAGCGTAAGTCTTATTGGCCAGCACTGGCATCACGTGGGTAGCAGCGGAGATGCTTTGGAATGAACCGTCTTCTCCTTTGAAAAACGGAATGACAAGTTTGATAGTTTGATCAATAATTGTAGAGAGAGTTTGTCAATAAAATTCTTGCCTATTTCCTATATTCACAAATATCCAAAAACTTGGGTCCTTAGCTTGTGGCAAGGTGAGAAAAGGGACACCGGGAACTGAAATGTTTGAATGTCACTAATATTTTCAAACATTTGAAAATCAATGGTGATAACTATTCATGCGTATGAAAAACAATTTACATGGAAAACAAGAAATGTTATTCACATGAGGAGTTCTCTGTAAACAGTGAAGGAATAACGCAAATGAAGCTTTCTTCATTTTTTCGCACGGCCCTCGTCGTTGGTTACTGTCAACCTTGTGCGAACGTCAGATGGCGTTAGTGGCGCTTGTTAGACAAGATTAGTTACCTTGCCCTCTCCCCTGTTTCACGTGTATTTTCGCGTCAAGGAAGACACTTACCCATTGCCTTTAGCAAAACCGAAATCGCATTTTTCTTCAAACCAGTCAAGTCTGGGTGACTTACTGCATCAAATGCCTGTTTTAAATGTAATGAATTGAATTCAAGTAAAAGTCTTTCTTCAGATAATTAGATACATTCAGTGATCTAGTTTGACAATGGATTCTGTTCCAAGTTTTTATTATGCTAAAATAGTTCATAAAAGGCAGAAACGCTCTTAGTTCCACAGAAATGCCGTTAAACGCCTCTAATTGTCAGTATTTCCTAACCATTCTCCTCTTAAATGGAGAAAGGAATTAGTCCCGTCTTTATATCATGTGCTCGGAAATAAAAGTGAACATTAATTATTTATTTCACGTTAAGGGTATTATATTTGCCATTTAACTTAAATGATTTCACTTAATTGATTTTTCCAATGAGCTAAATGAATATAAATAAAATGAACACCTGCAATGCAAGACTGGTTGTATACTCGTTCCCAAAGGATCCATCGTTTTTCTTCTTGTTCAGAATATATTTGACTCCCAAGTCCATGGCAGATGTGACGTCAGCTTGGTTGCGCACGCATGATAAGGCGATCACCGACATTGCTGCCTCATCTAAATTTATGAAAATATAAAATCTCAAAATTAATTTGATAACGGCATAAATATACATGTTTGTGATCCGGGAATAATACTTAAATGTTGCTTTAAGTAGTATTCTTTTGAAATTTCGTGATAAACAACAGACCTTAACTGTCAAAGTGCCTTTCGGCCTTTTGTTTTTAATTTGTACGTCTTTGAACAACTTACTCTCCTAGTTTCATTTGAATAAATCACTCATAACATCATATTGAGGTTGTTTCAGAAATCTGACCAAAATAAGTAAATTCCAATTCTCTGCAGTTTTAATTCACTTTTGAATACCTATTCCAAATGTGTAATTCCCGGCATCATTCGCCATTTTCTGGACAAATCTATCATCGACTGCGACCCCCGCCGCACACAGAGCTAGCACTCCCCAGGCGTAGGCGAAGTTGTGATTAAAGTAGTGGCGTGGGAAGCCGTTCATGTGTTTTTCCATTATCGCCACCAGGTCGTGGCCGTAGAAGTCCTGTGGGTTTTGGCAGGTGGCCACCAGGGCACAGATGTATTGGCCCAGTTTTCCTCCATACCATTCCTCCTTGTCCAGTGTTGAGTCACTGGGAAAGCAAAATTTCATGCATTAATGCTACACGTAATTAAACAAGGGCTTTATTTATTTATAGCAGTATTATTCTACGTACATGGACATCAAGGAGGGGGGGTACAGATCCGTTCAGATCCAGGGTGTTGTTAAGTGGAAAGGGGATGATCAGCAAATGTTCTAGTCTAAATTGGATCGCTTAATTACCAACCAAATGTAAATGATATGTCAAAGAAAAGATATGCAAAAATTGCTTTGATTTATGTCGCTCTTTGTATTGTTATATTTATTTGGGAGAGAGGGGGCTCCAAAGTTAAGGGTATAGGAATGTGGCCCACTGTGCTTCTACCCTTGGATTTGCCACTGAGGCAGACAGAACGACTCTAGGGTGTTTAAACAACAGTCACAACAACCCTTTCTCTCCTGGGCTTACCTGCTTAATGCTGCCAGTAGATCCAAGTTCAGTTGTTTGACGCTAACGGCTACATTCGGGTCACTGTTGTCGAACCAGCCGCCGTCTGCAAGTTGCAGAGCAAGAATGGCTTCGGCCTCACTTCTTGTCCCCCATCCCCAGTCTGCGTTTCTCTGGTCCATGAGCCATTTTCTGCCTTTGGCTATTGCCTCGTTGGCAGTTCCACTTAAACCTGGTTTTATATTATGTCTAAAATCTTATTATTTGCTTAAACCAGATGGCTGGGGGAACGAATTACCTCCGTCTACACAAATTGTAACTTTTTGACTAATGAGTTACGCCCATATTGATCCATTCACTTATTGTCTCATTGCCAGCTACGGTATTGAAAACTGTGCAATGAATTTTAAGCAGCTTATCATTCAATTTTTGGAAGCTGGTACATGTATAATATTACAGCAATATATAAAGGAAACGTTTACTTTTAATTGTCCATCTGTATGGATCTCAGACTAAAAAAAAACAGATGCACGTAGGGGCCTAATTTTATTTTAAAAATTCAGTTAAAGCAACGTACCTTTCACAGAATCAATATCGAATAAAACCAAAACAAATAGCCCGATCATGTGCTTTAGATCCATTTCGACTTTCCACAATCAATTTAATAGCAGTAGATTGTTGATGCCTGCCTCCCTCTCTCTGATTTTAATTCAGCGTGATATGCGTTCGTTTTATCTAAACTTTGTTTTATCTATTCGCCTCCAGATGCGAAACGCACCTTGTTTTCTCAGCCTTGTCTTGTCTATGTAATTGAGAGGCGGTTACGTCTATTTTGGCCCTTTCTTATCAGGCCAAGTTAATTGTAAATAATTATATTGGTAAACGAGACAGACAAAAAATGCAGTATTTTTTTCACTGAACTGGGAAAAAATAAATATATAACACGACCATGGGAATATCAGTAATGTACCTCTTAAACGGGCTCTCCATTTAAAGATAAAAACAGATTAATTCTTCTCACTGACTAGTATCTTTCACCAACACCAGTGCTTATCAATGTTAAATGCAAAATAGAGAACTTGCTTTAATTTTCAAGTAAGTGTTATTATTTCAGTTTGAACCCCGATGTCCGGTGAGAACAACAACAAAAATATAAATGTTGAAAAAGGATTCTTTTTTCCGAGTCAAAATTCTGTATGCGGTCCTTTCAAACTTTTATAAATGAAATAGAATTTACACTTTCACCAATAAATACTATAAATTAGAGGCAAATTTATCTATCGTAGTATTATTAACTTTAACATTTAAAATATATATTTCGAATTTGTCTCTCTGTTTTTCCAATTATTGCTGCCGTAGAGTCTAGCAAAATGCCATGCATAATCATTTTGTCGAAGTATCATGAAACAAAATTGAATGATTACATACAAAGAGAGCATGAAAGTTAGGCAAAGCATCCCTCTGTAATGTGCTCTTCCTTGTCCTGCGTTGAAACACGGAAAGGTGTCTAGAATTTTAAAATGACAGTTCTCATTTCAGAACTTCCACCTACTGTTCAAATTAAAGTTTTTAAAAAATCAGTCCATTACTATTGCTAATTGAGAGCTATTATTCCAATTGATGTTATGTATTCAGTCGACTTTTGGTGTCAGGAGCTCAGGGAGAGAACGCCCCGGTGAATTTACTCCGAAGCCAGGTCGTTTGTAGGGCCCGACTCAGACGAATGGACAGAGCCAAGACTCCTTGCCGACTCGGTGCTTCTGGCAGAGCTAATGCTACGAGCAGAACCATAACTTAAAGCGGACCTATTGCTTTTTCCCGAACTAAAACTTCTGGCAGAACTGTGCCCGCTATCATTTAAATACCTAAATACTCGCACGTTTCCATTCCAATCTGCAACTACCAATATTCCCTTAGAGTTGGTTGCGATGGCAACGGGCTGTTTCAGTCCGTCCTTTTCGGTCGCTAGGGTCCTCTTGTAGCTACCATCTGGTAAGAGCTCCACCACGCGGTGGTTTTCGGAATCGGCGATAAAAATGTGCCCAAAGTGGTCTACACAGACCCCCCGTGGAAATTTCAGCTGGTCTGGACCATTGCCGGGGACGTCTGGAGTGCCATGCTGCATAATCACCTCCCCGTGATCGCTGAGACCAACAACTTGGTGGCCGTTGGAATCCGAAACGTATATGGTATCGTTGACGTGACTGGCTGCAATATCCATAGGGCACTTGCACTGGCCAATTGGAATCGTTTTGACATATGTGCCGTCCATTTGGAAAACGAAGATGCATTTGCAGTAAACGTCACAGACGAGGATCTCCGAGTGCCTGTTTATGGCTACACCCCATGGCTTCTTGATTTTATCCACGCCGATCGTCCTGATAAACTCTCTCGTTTTCGTCCAATAGATCATGACACTGCCGGTGGGGTTTCGGAACAGCATGTCGTAAAACGCAGCCTTACTGTTATCGGAAATAACCACATTCCCACTAGGCAGCAGCGCCATTGCTGCTGGCCAGGTGGCATGGGGTTTCAGGTCGATGGCGTATTTGTAATGACCAGTGTCCGCAAAGAGTTTCATCTTTTTGTTGGAGTCGTCAATAACGTAAATATTGCCCTGGTCGTCAATTGCGACCCCGTAAAGCTTGCTCTGTTTCTCGCGTTTGAGTCTGGCGTTGAACATACAGAGAAGCTGAGCGTCTAAAGGAGCGGAGATGCCCTCGCTCTCTGCGTCGTGAAACATATCCATGGAGGATCTGTGTTGATCTTGAAACTTGGTGTAGAGTTCGTACTGGGTAATGCGTCGACTACGCTCTCGTTTTTCATAATCTCCCGACCGTCTCAGCGTTGCCTCGCAAGAGGTAGCATCAAACGTATCAGAACGCCCGACTGCTACCCTCGTGGCTCCGCTGCTATGGACCTTTTCTGTGGTGAGTGTTTTCTGCGATTCCGAATTTTTTTCCTCTTCTTCAGAGTCAGACTCAACATCTTTTGGAAAGTGTTCGAAGAGGGAATGGAAGGCGTCTCCAGCCATTTCGCCGCCATCCGACTTAATGGGTGGGCGCTCTTGCTTCGTAAAGTCCACGACCAGTTTACCGAACATTTGCCCAATGGCCTCTTCCGTGCAATGTTTGGGTGTGAAGGCGACATCGTCAACAAGTGGGACACGTGGAGCTTCGCAGGAGTCAAGATTCACCGCGGCCTTTATGAGTTCTTGTAAATTAACCCTGATGGTTTTCTGGTGGACCATCATAAGGGAATCACTACGGCAAAGGAGGAGATTGTTTGTAAACTGGGATAAGCTCTTGTACTTGGCGGTGACTCTTGAAAGGTTGCCCTTGAGTTCAACTGTTGGTTTTAAAGCCGTGTCAAAGTGGTCATCCACAATTTTATGAAGGGTCTGACAATGGCTATCTGTCAATTCTTTGAGGAGGTTTGCCTGGCGCGTGATCCCCTCCTTAACCCGATTACGTTGACTTTCACATGCTTTCACATAGTCTTCCATGCCACTGAGGTTCGCCTCAGATTTTGCACCTAAACTGGAAATTTCTGCCGTCAGGTTGGTTAGGACTCCTCGGCAGTCTTCAGTGACGTCAGCAAGTTTAACGCATGCGTGCCCGTTGTGAGCCGTAACGATGCAATCACGACATACGACGGTTTCTTCCTCTTTGCAGAAAAAATCCAGCTGCTCTCCGCGGTGGCTTGCGCACGTCAAAGGCTGCGCCACCATAGCGGCTACCACGTGCTCTGATGCGTCTTCAGCTGCGCGAAACACGTGATTTTTCATCGACTTAAGTTTATCGTGGGATGCTCTACAGTCTGAGCAAAATAACTGCCCACACTGTTCACAGTAAAGCACATTGGACGCCTCCTGTTCGTCACAGTTGTCACATCTTAGAGCTGTGTCCTTTACCTGTGATGCTTGTCGTGTTGCCGCCTCCTGTATTTTTATCACGAGGAAATTTGGCTCCAAATCATGAACTTTTCTGCTAGGCACTTGAATTTCGTCCTGGCACACGGGACACTTAACATACAACCCCTCTGGTGATTTATCGGCTAGTTGTGCCTCCACACATTTTGCACAGAAAGAATGGCAACAAGGTAGAATTCGGGGGTCCTGGTACTCATTCCCGCAAAGCAAACATTTCAGGAAGTCGCTCTGTATTAAGTCGGAGATATGGAACGTAGACGCTTCTGTGGACTCGAAAGACGTTTTTTCTGCTGTGCTAGTATCACGTTCCATTGTTTAACACCTCACTGTTCAGAATAATATTTAAAATATGTCAGTCCTAACTTTTAAGTTTGTGCATTTTCAGAATTTTTAATATACACTGTAGTGTGAGGAAAAAGCACAATTTAAACAGTCCGCTTAGAGGCAAAAATTACACCATTTCATTGTCCTTTTTCATACCTGCTTACCGGCGATCGCTGTAAATCATTTGAACTCAGCATTTCATTTCTCTCCGTGACGGCAAGAGCTCTTTGTTTTCAGTTAATTCGCATTTTAAGTCGGAATTTTAACCAGTCCTGCCATTATTGTGAACTAGTTACACTGTATCTAATAGATATTCATATATATCATCACAATGTTCGATAATCAATGCAGGGTAATCAGCTGATTGATAACCGCGGCGCTATCAAACCGGAAATGTCCCAGATGTTGAACATGCGCATTTTATCACTAAGCAAAAATTCGTTCAACGTAATATCAAATAGGCTGGACTAACATTGTGTAGTGTTGATAAGAGAGTGCGACACAACAAATACCGCTGAAATGATAACCGCCGAGTGATTGTCATATGACATATGACTGATTAATATCTGACTTCATTGCCTCATTGACGTCTATAACTGCGATAAAAATGTCGGCCATGATCCCCTTGCCCTCAAAATTATCACGAAAAGTTTACAGGTTTGAGCCTAAAGATACTCTTTACGAAATTTACCCGCCATAAATATCCAATTTTTGCTACCCACGAATTATTGCTCGACCCATAGCCTACCCGCACTTGCCTTCGATGTTTTATTCCATTTTCATTGCAATGATTTAATTCCAAATGGTTGACCATTTAGAACACCATATCTTCCTGTAGAATTCAGAAGGAACCCTCGACTACAGTTTTTTTATCTTAGGGATTTATTGTTTTAAAGGCCCGAGTTTCGAAAGCTTGGTAGTTTTGCATGATATGTATAGGTCCTACATAGAAAAATACATTGGATAGTTTCAGACGCGTACACTGTACCTTTAAACATTTGGTTTGAAAGCCAATGCAAGATAGGCTTCAAATGAAAGAAATTTTCCAAGTGAGAGAGTATGTATGTCATAACCAAAAAACATTACCAAAGCCAATGAAACATTTCACTTGCTAATCAAATCTTACTCCACCTGCCAAAATGAAAACTGGGCCGTCCTTGGGTAATATTGCCAATCAATATTTAACTCAATTGCGTGTACAATAAAACACAAGTGCCTGTCTATTGCTATCTAAGGGCTCCTCACACATCAATTACGTAAGTGAACTCTGACGTAAGCACACTCGTGCAGATACTGTTGACAAAACAATAGCCTGAGCACAAAGTATAACTGGTGGATAAGAGGGGAGGGGTTACCCTCTACCAAGGCCACATGTTGATATTTCACTAGATATTCACAAATATGTCTCTGGCTATGTATGGCACAATTTTCTGCTGGAGTAAAGTGCACAAATTTAATCTGCGGTCTTGACCATGGTGGAGGTTAGGTGATATTACACATTAGAAGCAGGATAAAATTTACATGTATCACAGTTCATTAAACAACAATAACAGCAGCTATAATAATAATAATAATAATAATAATAATAATACCATGGTTTATCATATCGTTCTTTCTACACTGTCTTTCAATGTTGGCATAGTTCCAACTGCGCAAATTCAGTTACTGCTGCTCCGATAAGAGAATTTGGCAAAGATTTTGTCTTCTGCTGATGATTAAAAAATGCCAATAACCTTTTCATAACTGTTCTTGAAAAATATAGAATACAAGACAGCGCTATACAAAAATGTGCACACCTACAGTATTTTACAAAGCCACTGATTATATGCTTTACATGGGTAAGCCTGTTTTGAGAACATGGGTAAGCCTGTTTTGAGAATATAAACCCTTTCGTTTTTGGGCCAAATACCGCACACCCCCCCCCCCCCCCCCCTTAGTGACTTTCAAAGCGTTAAAAATGGAATTCTAAATCATTCCCAATTTTTTCAGGGGGGGGGGGGGCTATAGTGGCCCATAGACTTCTTGGAGTATTTACAAATTCACAATCATTTGGGTTACGTGGTGTGATTCCGTATCTGTGACGTAACATTCAACACTGCAGCGACTCTTAGCCTAATAACAATGACTGTGGGATCCGTAGAATATAGTCAAAAATATTCAAGGCTATTCATATCATTACCCCTACTCAAGAAAATAAAGAAATAACATACATTATAAAAAGAAACCATAATAACATTCTCGTAGATGTGGTCTTGAAAAGGGAGACCTACATAGTTCAAACAGAAAAAATTCACAAAGTTGTCTGAAGTACAAGTATATATATATATATATATATATATATATATATATATATATATATATATAGTTTTTGTACTGGTGAGTAGATGAAAAAACAAAATCACACAAACTTTCCTTTCATTTTTGCTTAATTCAGTCACAGTATCGCTGATGTCTTAGTTTTTCTTCTTTTTGCTGAAAATTTTCAGTAAAGAAGCGTAAATTGTATCAATATTATCTGAATTTATTCCGAGTCAATTTTGAGGTACTGGACCACGTGCACGATGCCCTTGTATTCCACAACCGCCAACTGACCTTTGGAATTGACCGCTACGGCCACGGGCTGCTCAAGGCCGGGAATATCCACCTACAATATAAATGCATATTTACTCCAATGGAAATAATTAATAAAAACTACAAATTTCTTTTTCATTCTGAGTCTCTCGTCTAACTTCAAAAAGGTTGGAAACGAAAATCTCCATAATTATGGCCCCTATCGCAGAAAAAAAAATTACCAAAAACTCACAAAAAAGCAAAGATTTTTTTCCGCAAGTAATAAATATCTAAAATTTAGAATCAGAAAAAAAAACTTGACCATTTGCAGTTGTTAAAGTAAAAATACCATAACGTTGATTTATACAGCTTGTCAACATTCCCACCAATCACATCTCCATATTTACCTCTTTAAAAAAGCTGCAATCAGGATGTAACTGCACCACTCGACCGTTTTCTGAGTCGGCGATGAACACGTGACCACGATGATCGACGCAGATCCCGCGCGGGAATTTCAATTCTCCTATCCCCGAGCCGGCTTGCTGACTTTTGCTTCCATATCTCATTAGAGGCTCCCCATGGACGCCTAAACCGATGATCTGGTGCCCGTGGGAGTCGGAGACGAAGACTGTATCATTAGTGGGACTGACAGCGATGTCCATTGGGTAACTACACTGAGCCAGCGATATGACGGTTTTGTATGAGCCGCCCGGTTCGAAGATAAACAAGCACTTGCTGTGCACGTCACACACCAGTATTTCTCCCCGGCTGTTGGTTGCTACTCCCCAAGGTTTTTTAACCTTGTCTTCTCCTATAGATTTGATTAGCAGTTCAGTTTTCGGCATGAAAATGTCTACTTTTCCACGAGGGTTTTTGAAGAGGTTGTCGTAAAAGTTCGCTTTGCTGTTATCTGATATCACGACGTGACCTTTCTTCAAGATGGCGATTCCTGCCGGCCAGTTTGCTGTCAACTTCATTTCTGATTTTAAATGTCCCGTGTGGGCAAAAAGCTTCATCTTTTTGTTCCCTTCGTCGGTGATGTAAATATCACCATTCTCATCAATAGCACAGCCGTACAATCGACACGACTTTTCCTTCGGCATCCGTGCGTTGAAAGTACATGTAACCCCTAGCCCCCCTGGCGGCGCAGTGACATCGGGCGTCTCTCGACGACTGGAGAAGCTAGCTCTGCCTTCATCGGGGCTCTCGTGATTTGGTGGCTGCCACTGAGAATTCGGTGTCCCAGGGCTGGGAAGAGGAACTTTAGGCGTGGGAATGTCGATCGGTTCGGTCAACGTGCTAGAGCTGCTCTCGATTTCGTCCTGAACTCTGTAACTTTCAGGCAGTGAACTCTGGGAACCTTCTTTTCTACCATCATGAAGTACGCCTAGCAAATTTGCAATGTCATGTGACGTTGGTTGCTTAGGTACGAAGGTGACGTCAATTTCGGCCCTCTCCGGAGCACCGCTTGTCTTTAACAAAGTCAGCTCGCGAAGTTTCTTCTTCAGCGCTTTGGCGTGTGTCATAATTACTGGCTCGCTGCCGTATTTTAGCAGCTTCTCGGTGAACTCTATCACATCATTGACTTTGGTTTGATTTTTCTCGAAAAGTTCCTTATCTTTGCGTATCTGCTCCATTCTGCTACCGAAATGCTGGTCCACTTTGTTACAGAGGCGCTGGCACTCAACGTCAATCATCGCTTTGAGGTTGTCAGCCTCGGTCTGAATCTCGTCTTTCTGGCGGCGAATTTTTTCTTCACACATCTCGAGCTGATGTTGACAGTCTCCTCCCGAGTGTTCCGACTGGTAGGCCAGTTTGATTCCTTCGCTCACCAAAGTGGATATTTTCCCCTTGGTATTTTCAATTATCGCGCCCTTGATGTCGAGAACCGTGTGCGGTTTGTGTTTGGTGACGCTACAGTCGCGACAGACGACACAGCCGTCTTCTTCGCAGTAAAACTTCAATTCTTCCCCTCGGTGGATTTCGCAGAAAAGCGCTTCTTTTAGTGACTCCTCTGTTATAAACCCAGTGGCGTCGGCAGCCGATATAAATCGGTGTCCTTTCAGTGGTTTCATGCTGTCGTGCTTGGCTCTGCATTCGGGGCAATAATGTGCTCCACATTCTATACAGTACTGGACATTCTCCGTGCCTCCATCTTGGCAACTTTCTGGGTAGTTGCCGCAGTGGGAATCAACGGCTTTCTTTCTTGCCGCAGCTGCCTGCACTTTCTGCAGGAATATATTTTGGGGAAATTCACCCTTCTCTGTGCCGTCCCCACGGGGAACTGGGGTCGAGACTCCGCACGTAGGACACGGAAATTCCACTATAGGGGGTCTCGATGTGTGAGCTCTTCGAGGGGACGATCCCTCGGTGAGAGAGAAGTACTCTGAAGGTCGATACCCCGTGTGTTTTATCAGGCAAGAGGCGCAAAACGAGTGGAAACACGGAAGAACACGTGGGTCAGTATATTCGTTGGAGCAAAGTTTGCAATTCAGAATACCTTTTTCAAGTGCTGTTGTGAACGCATGGCCATCAAACACGCTGCTACTCGACGCCGTTGCCATTCTCAATTAAATATCAAATATAATTGTGCTATATTATATGGCAGTTCCTCTTACCAGCTTAATGTGAACCACAGGTACTCCCGCGGTCATGTACGAATTTTAGATAGAGACAGTCTATGCAATAATCTATATCACGGGTATAGATTACACATATGGGTCCTTATCAGTTTGACGTGCTTTTACTTATCTGGGAAGTCTTTATAATCTCTCATACCCGGCTGCAAAATGTCCACTTTCGCATTTACCTTGGTTATACATACGTGTATGCCGGTCACACGCACATAAGTTCTGGCTAATCAGACAGTCCCAGAGCTGCTGTACATTCTCTTTTCCTGTCAATCTTTCAGACCTGCTTTTCCTGAGTCCTGCTGTACAGAACTGTCCATAGTATTAAACTGCGGGAAGTACCCGGTAAGACCGTAATGTCAGTTAAACTTAAATACAGTATGTACGCCTTGAATCAAGTCACTGCAAACAAATAAATGCTCTCGGCTTGAAATAAATATATAGCGTATACAACGAGGTCGAGCAGTTTCCCCAATGTGAAATGATTTAACTCCTTCTTCCCTTGTTCTCGAAGCGCTGGGATTTCCTATCTATATTTAGCCAGCTGTAAATTCCCCAACTTTCATTGTAAAGATCCTTTCCAAGAATTCTCTAGTTCTGCAGTGCTGTTGGTCTCCGCTCCTGCTCATAGCGCAACCTATGACTCCATCCTAATTCGACATCGACTTGACAGCCCTGGGTTGAAAGTTTTGACAATAAAGAGAACAAATAGCTGACAACGAAAATACGTGTTGAAAATAGACGCTATGCTTTACACTGGTGCATATTCGCTTCAGCCTGCATGTCATTTTCTACAACCCGGAAGTGACCCAAGTTGCACTTAATCCGCCTTCTTTGTCATGGCAGGTGACTTCTAACTGTATTTTACAAATCGCTGATGACCTAATTTTGAAAATCCCGTATTATGATACCAATAGAGCGTGATGGTATTATCTGTTAAGTCTAAGTGGGTTTTTAATCGGTTGTTCAAGGATAATTATGTTTACTTGGCAGTGTGCTGAGGTAAAAGAGCACAACGAATATGTACGTCACACTAGCTGTTGATATACTTATGACCCGACCGATAATGTAAGCTATAAGTGCACATCGGTTCAAATTCTGTTTTGATGTCAGACAGGGAGACTCGACATTCAGTGCTAACTATTAACCCGGCAAAAGAAATGGAGTAACATAAAATCAAAACAAAAAAAACTCTCTCTCTCTCTCTCTCTCTCTCTCACCTCCGTTCACATATTTTTATTTTGATATCCGAGGAGTTTAACCTGGCAAACGGAATATAGTAGCAAAAAAAAAATCTCGCCTTTTCTCANAAAAAAAAAAAAAAAAAAAAAAAAAAAAAAAAAAAAAAAAAAATATCGCTTTTTCTCACTCTTTCACACACACTCCCATACTGTACACTCTCTTTCTCTGAACACCGCTGTATGTAGGTCTACGTACGTAACTTACGGTATATTACTATGTAAAATATTTATTTAAAAATAAAATTATATAGATTTAGCTCTTAGCTTTGTTACCTTGAAGCTAATTTTCATCATAAAATACAGCTTTCTACAGTGACAACATTTTGACTTACTGGTATTTCAGATTAGCATGTAAAACTGACGACAAAAGACAATTGTCAACTTGAAGATAAGCAAAAATTTTGCTATTCACTAATTTGCATTAAATTTCATTGACAATTTAAAAACACGTCAGAAAACCTTTTCTAGGGAATTTCACACGTAAAATTCTAAACATCCATTTTCTTCACACGTCTTTACTGGACCGCCGTATAGGACCTCTCTTGGGTCATTCGTGTGGCTTCCCTGAAAACAGAATCCTGTTAAATAAGAATTTACATCCTCGTCATAGAAAAACATTTTGATTAGTCTGAAACTTTGCTGGCAAAAACGGCATTTAAAATTGGCACCACTCGCATCTTGGCTTCTCTTGTCCACGTGACTGTTTGGATGACGTAATGCGCATGACGTCACTAAGTTACTCTGAGGATTAAAGTTTTTATGGCACCGCACACAGTGTGCATCTTTGGTAGCTGGGAAAGATTTTTGTGGTAATAATATACTGAGAGCCACGATTGTTTTACTTTCTTTCTTTCGAAGAGTATTGATCAGGATTTGTTTCAGTTCCGTCGGGTCTATATTTTGTAGCAGATCTGTCAGACGAACATAGTCGTTGGAGAGTTGCGCGAAACGCAACACCGATGTGTCTTTCGGAGTTGGAGAAAGTTTTTTCTTCCCTTGTAGCACTCCTAAGAATTGCTTTCGAATCTGTTCGTGAACATCACTGGGGAAACTATCTGGTGATTGCATAGAACCTCCGCTCTCGCGATCAAAGTCGGTATTGTTTTGTCCTCTCGATTTTGACTGTCTCCAGTCTTCGTTACTTCCTCGAGGGCTTGAATGGTTTGATCCGTCTGTTGAATCAGTGAAAACTTGCTCCATTTTGACTGAAATATGAAAAAAATATGTATCATATCTGCCATTCTGTATGATGAAGCATAGGACCACACAATTCATAACACAGTCCGAGGCTTGCCCTAGGCCTGTCAACCAAACACCAGTCATTCTGATTACAGACGTCGCCACCATCTATACAATAACACGCACTCTCCTCTCTCTCTTTCCACATATTTTTCTCCACACACACACACACACACACACACACACACACACAGAGAGAGAGAGAGAGAGAGAGAGAGAGAGAGAGAGACTCTACACATAGGCCTACTCTTATTACAGAACCTGGAATTGTTTCTGCATCAGAGCGTCAGAGTGACTTGCGCCAGTCGATCACGCAAAGAGGAAATAATACACATAAACCTTCATGTCAGTGCCATTAAACAACTGTTAGAGCGCCTACATGGAAGCCAATTTTGGGTCCTAGCCCAGTTAGGCACCTTGGTCACGTTGGTAGACAGGTAGGCTAAGTAATCTCATCCCAAAACGTGGCTCACATGGTGTGGTACAATATTAGGCCTACCCTGCATCATATGGTCAGGAGGATTTTGAGACTTTGGCCACCTATAATTTTACGGGTAGACCTAGCCGTTATTAAAACCCTGTGGGTATGAAGAGTTGAAACCTTTCGTCGATCAAGATAGATGAACTGATCTTGCCAATGTTGATGAAATGTCACACGGGCAAAACCAAAACCAATGAAACTAAGGCGGTATGAGTAGAGACGTTATTCCTCGCTNCTAGCAAATATCTAATAACACGTCAATATTAATAATGCTGGATCAAATACAAGTCGTCAACGGTTGCACAAAGTATTCAATAATCCGAATAGTGCCGTTATAAACATAGACAAATAACAGCTTTTACTTCCCAGGGAACATCTCAGTCTCATTGGGCATTCAATGAAAAGGCTCACCTTTAAGACTGCATTCCCACAAATTTAGATCAATCCATTTGCTCTTGATGTCATTT